TGCGGGAGGGTGCCGGTGTGTGCCCCGCAGATCATCCTGGCCATCATGCTGGTGTGGCTGATCTGCTACGTGCTGACCCGCACCGGAGTCTTCCCCAGCCGGCCCGAGGAGTACGGCTACAAGGCCAGGACGGACGCCCGCGGGGAGATCCTGTCCGTGGCACCCTGGTTCCGTGTCCCTTACCCCTGTGAGTGCCCGGCGGCGCCCTGGGGCCCCGATACCCCTTTGCCCTGGGGATGCGGGGACCTGGTGCAGCATCACCGGGGCTGGGGAACACCTGGGGGGGTTCAAAGTGGCACCGGTGAGCACCGATGGGGGGGTCCTGGGCTGTCCCCAACCCTGAGCTGTTCTGCCCCCCGGGCAGGCCAGTGGGGGCTGCCCACGGTGACCTCAGCAGCCGTGCTGGGCATGTTCAGTGCCACGCTGGCGGGCATCATCGAGTCCATCGGGGACTACTACTCCTGTGCCCGGCTGGCAGGAGCGCCCCCGCCCCCTGTGCACGCCATTAACAGGTACAGTCGGCTGCTCCCCCCTCCACGGCACCTCACTCGCACGGCGGCATCCCTGGACACCGGTCAGGGATGCTGCAGGACAGTGGAATGGGCACCAGCCCCACCGTGTTGTTCCCCAGGGGCATTTTCACCGAGGGCATCTCCTGCATCATCGCGGGGCTCTTGGGAACCGGCAATGGCTCCACGTCCTCAAGCCCCAACATCGGAGTCCTGGGCATCACCAAGGTACCGGGGCCGGGGAGGGTCCCGGCTCGGCCGGGGGGCGCAGGCACCGTCACCCGTCACCTGCTGCCGGTGTCCGTGTGCAGGTGGGGAGCAGGAGGGTGATCCAGTACGGCGCCGGGATCATGCTCCTGCTGGGCACCATCGGCAAATTCACGGCGCTCTTCGCCTCCCTGCCCGACCCCGTGCTCGGCGGGATGTTCTGTACCTTATTCGGTAACTGTCTGCCCCAAACGCAGCCCTGGGCCACGTCCCGGCAGCCTCGGGGGCTGGTGAGCCCAAGGCCGGGTTTGGGAGGAACGGGGGCCCCTCGCAGCCTCCCCGCGGCTGGGGCAGCCCCCGGCACCTCCGCCTGCATCGCCGCGTCTCTGCCGGCAGGAATGATCACGGCCGTCGGCCTCTCCAACCTGCAGTTCGTCGACATGAACTCCTCCCGAAACCTCTTCGTGCTGGGTTTTGCCATGTTTTTCGGGCTGACGCTGCCAAACTACCTGGATTCCCACCCCGGGGCCATTAACACAGGTACCGCCCCACAGGGAGCCGCAGTTCGGGAGTTTGGGGGAGAGAGGAGGGCAGATCTGCCGGCGCTCGCCCACCCGGGGAGCAGCGGGGAAATCCGGCTCCTCACAGCACCCCGGCTCCGTCCCACGCTGCCGCAGGTGTCCCCGAGCTGGACCAGATCCTGACGGTGCTGCTGACCACGGAGATGTTCGTCGGGGGCACCATCGCCTTCGTCCTGGACAACACCATCCCGGGTAACCGAGCACACGGGCGGGCAGGGGGAAGCAGCGGGGCTGGGGCAGGTTCCTGTCGACTTAGAGCTGCCAAGGGGGATGGCAGGGCCGGGGTGACACCGGACACCCCGCAGGGACGCAGGAGGAACGAGGGCTGGTGCAGTGGAAGGCAGGAGCGCACTCGGACAGCTCGAGCAGCGCCAGCCTGAGGAGCTACGACTTCCCCTTCGGCATGGGCGCGGTGCGGAGCAGCCGCTGGCTCCGGAACGTGCCCATCTGCCCGGTGTTCACCGGGTTCAGGGCCCGGCCGGGGGGCAGCGGCGCGGCGGCCGCAGAGGGCCCGGACGGGGGCTCGGTGTGCACCAAGGTCTGAGCCAGGGGAGGCTCCCGGCAGGTCCCGCCCCAGCGCCGGAGGAGCCGAGCCGAGCTCCCGGGGGGCTCTCGGGGTTCGGTAGCGCCCACCAAGGCCGCAGCCAAGGCTGCCGGCGCTCGGCTCGAACGCAGGGCTAGGGAAACACAACGCTGCTCTTGGGGCACAGCCTGGGGACCGCCACCCCGTGCCATGCTCCACCCGAAGCTTCAGCTGGCTGAGACTCGTCCAGCGCTTGCTGAAGCCCGTCAGCCGCATCGGAGCCAGCCAGAGCCCCGGGGCCACCGACTCCCACCCGGGGCTACGGATTTTCACCGTGCTGTGCCCTCGGCTCCGGCACGGTGAGCCAGCAGCTGGCACGGGCTCTGCGTGGGGCAGTGTCCAGACCAGCCTTAGGATGCCTAACTTAAGATGATACATTAAAAACGATAATATATTCAAGTGCACGTGCCCCACCGGTGTCTGTGCTGCCTCCTGCACTGTTTCCTCGTTCTTTGTGCACCTTTGACCGTGCTCCTCCTGGGCTGCCAGGCACTCAGACACCCTGGAGTTCTTCCAGGTGGGCTCTGCCTGAACCCGGGGCTGTGGGAGATGCAGCTCAGCACAAGCCCTCGGCAAACCCTTCCTGGCCCGGGAGCTCTGGAGCGCTGGCCCTGTCCTGGCCGTGCTGGTGACACTGCCCCATGCCCCAGGCTGCTCTCAGCCGCAGGCACGGAGGTGGCTGACCTACACCACAGCGGGGTCAGGCCAGTCCTTGGCCTGGATTTAGCACCAAAGTTGAGCTGAGGCAAAATTGCACAACCCTGTCACAGCCCGGGGTGGCACTGTCACACACTCACTCCCAAGCCTGAGCAGGGAGAGAAGTGAGAAAATCTGTTAAAAGTGAAGATGAGGGAAAAAAACCACCCCAAGTTAAAATAACCCCCAAGGGATGCAAATACAATCACTCCCCACCTCCCAGAGCACCAGCCAGGCTCTGAGCCCCTCTCTGGCCGCTGTCCTGGTGCTGGTGCTGAGGAGAGTGTCACAGTGTGTGACACTGCTCTGGCCAGCGGGGTCCCCTCCCATTTCCTTGTGCCCCCAGCCCACCCGCTGGGGCTGGAGCAGGACTGAGAGGGGCCTGGGGACAGTGCCAGTGCTGCTCAGGGCTGGGTGCCGCTCCTGTGCTGCAGTCACACCCCAAACCCAGCATGGACAGGGCAGCTCCTCCCCAATGAACATTGCAGTGCTACAGGACACAGCAGAGGGATAAACCCAGCTCCAGGAGGGCAGCCACGGCCAGCCTGGCTGCTCCACGTGCTGGCTCCTGGCTGCTGCACTCAGCTGCCACCACCCCGAGGTGACAGGGGCCAGGCCAAAGCCCGTGGACAAACTGCAGCCACGCAGGACTCGCTGGTGGAACTCCCACTGCAGACAGAAACCAGCTGTGTGTTATTTGCTGACCTTTTCCTTTAGGTGCTCGAGTCTAAACTCTCCCCAGGCCAGTGGAAATCCTGCAGAAGTTTTGCCAGCTCTGTGCATGGGAAGGGAAGGCAGTGCCCAGCACGGAGCTGGGGTAGCTCCATTACCATTCTGCAGAGCAGAGCAGAAGGGGTTGGTGCAGTGCAGCTCCCCCAGCAGGGAGAGGCTCTCCCGACACAGGCGGGTGGTTCTGCTGCAGGGCAGCACCTGCAGGAAGGCCCCGCCTCACCCTGCCCGTCCTGCAGAGCTGCAGCCTCAGCTGGGTCCCTCCGCTTTAATCCGAGCTTAAAAAGGAGATACAGCAAGGTTGGGCTGTCCTGAGCAGGGTCTGGGCTTGATCCTTGTGAGTCCAACTCAGGAGATTCCGTGAAGCAAGAGTGGATGGGGCTGGAGAAGCTGCTGCAGCCAGCACTCGACTGCAGCTCTGGGGCTCCAGTGCCAAGCACCAGCAGCAGCTTCTGAGAGCCCTCAGTGGCTCCCGGGGCTGCCAGCAGGGCCAGCCTGGGAGCAGCCACAGGGAAAACGATGGGAGAGCATGGAGTGGGAGGAGAGGAACAAATCCCATCCCCAGAAGCAGCCGCAGCCAGGCTGGACAGGGCTTGGAGCAGCCTGGAACAGTGGAAGGCATCCCTGCCCATGGAACTGGGTCTCTCAAGTCTCTTCCAACCCAGAGCACTCTGATTCCATGAAGAGTCCAGCTTCAGCCAGGATCCAGGGCCACGGGGTTCCACAGTGCCAGCCCTGTCCTCCACATGCTGCCAAGTGAGTTCCCGTGCCAGATGCCCAGTTATGAGACAGCCACCACATCAGTTCTACTATTATTTATTTTTTTAAATATTTTTGAAAAAATATAATTTTTTTACAATATTTTCAACTTAAACACTATTCACACTGAACACGTATGGCAGCTTAACCTACCCAAATATGAAGTTTAAGAAGCCAAAACTGTTCTAGCTTTATTAAAAGAAAAAAAAAACAACAACCAAAAAACAAAACAAAACAAAAAAAACCAAAAACAACCCCAAAAAGTCATTGTGCTGTAGACTATTGTGTAGTGATGATTAAACAAAGCAAGGGAAAAGCACCACTCAAATCACTAATGCTGGGGTTTGCCTGGTTAAATCCAGCTGTGGGAAGTTGGATGCTAAGGGTTCCATAGGCAGTGCTGTGTGGGATGCCTGTTCTTGGCAGGAACTGTGATGGATCTCACACCTCCCTGAACAGCACGGGAAGGGAAGGTTTCTAACATGATCACACACTGCAAAGGACAGGGAACTGCTTCCTCCCAAATGCCTGGATGTTAGTTCAGGAGCTGAGATCTACGACTCTGTACAGGTCTGTGAGATTTGGGTTAAGCTCACGCTGCTTCCCAGGATCACGATGTTTTGTAAGGGGGGAAATTAACATTAGTAACAACACTGATACCTCAAAGGAAAGTTAGCTAATTTGCATAACAATCAGATCTCCTCACTTTCACTTGGAAGTTAAGGCATTATCAGGTGCAAGCTAGCACCAGTTAACACATCTTTAGTTAAAAACAGACCATTCACCGCAAATTCCAAGTCCTGTTTAAAAAGTCAGAGTCTGCAGAAGGTTTTATTAACGTGGTACTTTGTCTCAACTTGACTGGTGCTTCTTACCTCACTGCCTCCTTCGCACAGAGCCAGGGCCCAATTATGTTTCCATTAAACTTTTGACAGATTTACTTAATAACAGTCTCAGCACTTTTATTGAGCATGCAAGACTAACAAAACTTTGGCAATGCATAAGTGTAACACAGTGACAAGAAGAGAGAGCTTTTACAATTAAATCTTCTAATACTGGCTTCACAGTGTGGAAATTGTGCTACATCCACCAAAAGAGGGCCGAGTCTACTCAAATGTTTAAGTACTTCACCCCAGGAACAAACTCCTTTGCGTTTGGATTCAGATTACTCTTGACCTGAGGAAGGGAAGAACAGAAATCGAGGTGAATTGTTATTTTCAGCTTCTATTTTCAAGCTGAAGACAATGAGAGGCAAAGGTTTATGGATTTAGAGGAACAATCAGGTATACAATAGGCTTCTTACACTTAGCAGCAGTCTATAATCCCCAGAAAAGCCCATTCCTCTCCCTGAGTTATCCAACCTTCCTTAGCTCCACCTGAAGTTTCAGCTGGATGAGGGCTCAGGGAATAAGCAGCAAACCACAGGCATTAACCAAACACAGCAGCTTCCCCTCATGCTGAAATAGCCTTTTCTCAAGTTGAGCTGTTAAAACGTGCCATGAGGTTTTTAAATTTTGCTTATTTAAGCAAGAGGTGACTTGTTCCAGGAACTTCAGCCACTTCTGGGAATTTCATGTGTATGAGCACTGTATTGATTTTTTACATGTCTCTGTCTGTGACTCCCCTGTCCTGCCCCCTGGCAAGCTGCTGCTGCTCCATGTCCTGCAGTTCAAGGGGGGCACCAGCACCTTCAAAAGGAGCTCTTTATCACAAAGAAACGGAGGATTAGGCTTTTCTGATCTTCACTGAGGCTGAAACTGCTGCCTGCAGCTGCTTCAGCTTGGGAAAGTCACGGTCTGCATCTGAATCTCAGAGCAGTTGTGTGACAGGATGGTGTGGGGTCTGTGCTCTGTATGAGCAACTGTGGATTCTCTGAGGGAAAATAAGCACATGCTGCCCTTTCCTTTGGGTTGAGCTCTGCACAGAAGTCAGACAGCAAAAAGAGGGAAATAGTCACAGTTTGGCTGCTTTCCCCTTCCCTAGAATTGTTCCAGGGATCTGCTGTGGCTCTCCCAGTCCCAATCAGACCCTGGGACAGGGCCCAGACCAGCCCAACGTGTCAATGCTGGCAGATGCCCAGTGACCCTTTCCCAGCCCTGGCTCCACTCAGTGCCCTTCTTTCATAACATCCCACCCACTCCTGGAGTTGTGCCATGGGAAAGGCTCCACGTGGCTATGAAGAAAGCCACCAAACAGGTCACATCCCATGGAGACACCTCCTTCCCACCTACTCTGCACAGCCAGGCAGGGTTTAGCAGGCTCCTTTCTGCTGGAAGGACTTTCTCCTGCCATAAGCAGCTATAAGCCCCAGCCTTGCACAAAGACTTGAGCTTTAGAAATAGAATGAGAAGCTGAGCTTACCACCAGATCCTCCAGCGATGAGCTGTCACTGATAACAAGGTCATTGAACTGGTCCTGGATTTGATCCATTGTTTGTGGGAGATCACGGGCTGGAATAAACCACTCGTGCTCCTCCTCCTCTTCCAGCATCTCCTGGAAACAGCGCTCGATAAATTCTTCTTCCCACAACTCCTCTTCGATCTGTGCAATGAAAAGAAACTGCTTCAGCAAGAGATCTATTGTGAGCTTGTGGGGGGGTTCATTCCCAGGTGTGTGCACCCAGCTGACCTTCCCAGCTGTCAGCAGCACCCCAGCCCAGCACCATGTCCATGCAGCAAGGACATCAGTGCTTTATCCAAGGGATTGGGGCTGCAGCTGAAAGGAAGAGGCAGGAGAAGCCCCCAACCCCAGCTGTTTTGTTTGCAGCTTGTTACGACCTGAAGGAGAAGGAAAATGTAGGTCCCAAGCAAAAATTTCAGCTGTACCAACTAGTCTGGACTGAGCTCACTGCAAGTATGAGGAAGGGAGCTGTGCCAAGACACAGAGCCAGGAAACACTCCCCAGGAAAGTGTCCTGTGGGACTTCCGGGGAAAAAATAACCCCTGACTGTCACCTGGAACAAGCAGCCTCTCCTCACTGCCAGTGTGTGCTCACCCACTGTGCTCTCCTGGGGAACCCCACCTGATGGCAGCAGCTGTGAGGAATGCAGCCCTGCTGTCCTGGGAGCAGGACAAACCAACCCAGGCAGAACTGACACGCAGTGCAGAGATTAAAGCAGTTTTCCTTGGCTGTTCAGTAAATGAGCTTTGGAGCGAGATCATCCTACAAATTTTCCATGTCCTGAATCAGAGTGTGTAAGAGAGGAAAGCAGGGAAACAGAAGCTGGTGTGAAGGACTTGCCCAGACACGAGGGAATGGAAAATTGATTCAGGACAGATTTAGAAGTTCACTCAGTGGAAGCTCAAACAAATTTTCCCATCTCTACCCTTTGCTCTGAAATCAAACACCTCCTCAATCCTGGAGTGGAAATTTAGTTACCACAAACACCAAATCAAAAACATTAACGCAAGATTATCAGGACTGCTGTGCAATCTGGGTCCTTGCCCTTGGGGCAAACACACCCACAGCTCACCTGGTGCTCTGGGGAACAGGGACTCATCCCCACATGCTCAGAGCCACCGCCCAGGCACTCCAGAGGCACCGAAGGCTGACTCAGTGATTCCCCAGAGCAGCACTCCAGCCTGGGTGGCACTCCAGGGGCACTGCCTCCCTCCTGCTGTGGGCACATGGCCACAGGCTCCTGTTACACGGGGCTTGCCCAGCTCCAGGGGCTTGGTTACAGGCCTGCACCCCTACAGGTGCCTCCATGGCAGCTCCAGCAGTACTAAATAACATTTAATTCCTCAAAGAGCTGGAAATTAGGACTGCCTGTTTTTATTTTCCAGCTCCAGTTTAACTTGCTCAGGCTCCCAGAGGGCTGTGTCTGCAGCAGGTGACCAGGCTGCCCCAATTGTGTCTGAGCATGACCTTTCTCCCCTCAGACTCCCACCTTTCCTCTGCTCTGACAATGGAATCTGTGCCTGAAAAATCATGGCACAACTCAGTTCCTTCCCAGAGAATTACACCCCCTGTACGCTAACTGTGGGACAGTTCCCAGGGGGAAAAAGCCACCAAACAGGAAACAATGCACAAGAGAACAGAGGTTTTGTGGGCAAACCCGACTCTGAGTGAGCTCAGAGCTGGCACCCTGAGGATCCTGTGCTGGTAACTCAGCATCCAGCACAGCCACAGCTGCTGGAGCACAGGCAGCAGCTATGGAGAGCACAGAGCAAGCTGGGAATGGGAAAGGGCTGTGGAAAGAGGTGGGCTGTCCTCAGTCTCCAGAGCAGGAGAGAAAAGGGTGACAGAGGCAAGGTGGCAGAGGAAGGTAAGGCTTCCTTCCCACAGGATGGAAAAGGGAGCTGTAAGATTCAAGTATTAAAATGAGCAGCTGCCACCAGCACCCTGTGGAGCAGCAGTGCTGTTCCCAAGGCAGGTGTGCACCTGGAATTCCCCAGCTCAGCACTGGGGCACTCAGCACGTCCACACACGAACGCCTCCCGGGCCAGCCCTTCCCAAGTGCCACGTACTCCTGACAACTCTCTGTTCTCCCCTCCCTCCTGCAGAAGCAGGGAATTAATTAATGGATGCATTGGAATGTGCTGCACTTCCTGTATTTTCCACCAGGACCACAGACGATCAGCATTTACTGCCAGAGCAAGGGAGACCTGTTTGTTCCCCAGGATCACTCCAGAGAGCCCATCTGGAACTTCCTCTCCAAAGGAGGGTCAGTGATGGACCCCAGCCCTGTCCCTTCAGCTGGGAAGGGACAAAGGACAGACAGGCCATGGAAAGCAGGGAGTTACTTGCCTGCCTGTTAAACTCCTCCTCGTTCTCCATCCACATGTACTCAGCAAAGGGGTTGTCATCCTCGTGGGAGTGCCCGTTGATGATCACATCCTCGCTGATGATGCTGGGGCTGGTACTGCTGCGACTCGGGTCCTTCATGGCTGCCACTCCGATCCCAAACCTGCAACTGAGGGAGGGCAGCATGAAACACCTGCAGGCTCCTCATTCCCTGCCTGCACAAGCCCAGCCCAAGGGAACAGAGGCTGCACCTGCATTCAGAGGCTCCAGGCAGCCTTGCCCTGACTGCAGCAGAGCTGTGAGATCACAGCAAGGAGCGGCATCACAAACACCGTTCCCATTGTGTGCGGATTCCAGGGACAAATTAATTTCCCAAACTGAACCTCACCGAAGCCAAGCACCACAGCCAATGAAAAGTGACAGGAAAAAACAGTAGGAAACTTGCCAGTAGGAAAATATTTAAACACTCAAAAGGAGAATTTGTTTTCCAAAGCACTTTTAAGTGTTGTGTGTGATGGCACGAGCCAGGTTTCACAGCCCTTTCCTGCTTGGAAACCTTGCAGTGAGCAGAAACCACGAGGAACTGACCCTGCACAGGGCCACCTGGAAATCTGTGTGTTCTGAGGTGACACAACATTGCTGCCCTTCTGTACCATGCCCAAATAAACAGATCAACACTGGAAAAGCTCAGTATTTGTTGGATACTAACACTGGTAGTATCAATTTTCTTTAAACAGTACACAAAGTGAGGCAATGTCATAAAAAAGACCTAAAAAAAACCTGACCAAAAATCCATGACTCAAGTCAAATTCTAATGTTTTTCTCATGTTAAAATTCACAATGAAAGCTTCAGCAGCAAGTGAAAATATTTTTATTTTCTTAACAAAACTTCGTTGTCTGCATATCAAAGAGTGACTTCTTCAGAGAGAAGAAGCCAGCCTTGTTGTTATTAGAGTACAAGGGCTTATCACCCAGCACCTCACATTTTCTCTTTGCATTCCAGTCAGTTCTGTTATCTAGGGAATTAATGCAAGTTTTGGTTCAAAACTCTTGATGATACCAGCTAAAAACCTGCCACACCTGAGTGACCAATAAAGAAAAGCACAAAGAAGAAGGAACCTGCCTGGCTTGCTGTGTTCCACGTTTCTCTATCAAAGGCAAACCCCAGCACAGAAGTCACTGCAGCTGCCTGGGAAGTGCCACAACTGGGAGCAGATGCCTGTATTCCACTGTGTATTCCACAAGGGAAAACAGGTTCTTTTTGATGTTCTTTCAAAACAAACTTGCTGAGGATTACTGGCAGCATTTACATAAAACAGGAAAGGACTTTGTATTTAACACCCCAATTCAAGCTTGAAATTGCTTTAAGCCACTTCAGCTGTCCCCAAACCAACATGGGATGGAGTACAGGAAGAACAGCCTAAAAAACCAAATTTCTTTCCCCCCCACTTTTTACTGGCATGTCTTTTCACCTTCTCTTTTGTGGAGCTAGTTTTGATATTATTATTTTCCTGAAAGTAACTGCCTCAGCAGTGAGGAACTCAGGCAGCTTCTACACAAAGGTGACTGTACCCAGACAAGTCCAGAATGGTAAAAATAATTAAAAAAAACAACCCAAACCCAACAAACCAACCCTACTTGTTTGTGTAAAAGCTTGGAAGGTTAATTTGTTGAATCACAGGCCAGCTTTCCCATTTCTGAAGCATTCCCACGAGACAGGAGCTCCAGCTTTAGGAGAGAGGGAGGGAAGTCCAGCTTGGACCAAACCAGCTTTGTCCACCACTGCCCAAGGATGATGGGGATGATCTTCAAGGCTGATCTTCTCAGCCTGAACATTTGAATTTTATCTGATGAAGCCCTCAGACCATTCATGCCTTTCCCACAGGGAAACATGCCCACACTCACTTATCCTGCAGGAACTCTGAGGAAGCCCCAGGCTGGTTCCTCACTTGCAGCACCCCTGATTTAATTTTCTGCAGCTTCCAACAGAACAAATAAACCTTCCAGAACAAATAAACCTTCCCATTTCTCCACTTCAAGATACAAACCAGGTTTCTGTGCTCACGTGTGGGGACAAGCTCAGTCTTGTTCCACCAGTACTGGTACAACCTTTTCAGTCAGGGAATTCTGAGGGGGAGAGCCAAATGCCACTTCAGTCTTGCAAAAAGTCCCAATCCAAGCAGGCTGCTGCAGGAAACAAGCCCCAGTGCCAGGCTACACTGCTGCTGGGAATAAAAATAACCCATTTTCCATCTGGGAGTAGGTGGGAAGCAGAGGAGCTCAAAGCTTCTCACTGTAGAAGAGGAAATGTAACACTGGCAGTGCTAAAGAACAGAAAACAGGGAGAATTCTGCCACAGTGACACGCTGTGAGGTTCTGACCCGAGTTCCTCTGGGATTTTGGTGTGGAGTGGGGGTGGTGGAGCAAGCACACTGCAAATGCATAAGGAAAGACGCTAATAAAAAATAGTACTTGTAACTTAGGAATGAAGACAGAAATAAAAAATCCTGTAACAACAGACTTTCAGCTAACCCTGAGTTGTTTTCTGTGTGCAGTTTGTTACTCCAGAACATCACTAAGGCCAATTAATTCACCCATTTCCCTGAATTTTGCTGCAGTTACAGCCATGAAGAGCCCTTGACCGACCATCATTAAAATTCAGAGCTTTGTGACTGAAGAGGCTGCATTTAAAACCCAGTCACGAAAGAAGATTATCCACTGCCTTCTCCGGAGGTGAGGTCAGGCCTAATTCCATGCAGAAACCACAGCTCCTTACCCGCCACAGAAAAAGAGAGAATAATTAAGTAAAAACCCTACGATATTTGCTTTAAGCACCCCAAAACATCATGGTTTTAGTGGGAGCCGAAGATTAAAGGAAGGTGTTTTAGCGCAGCTGGGGCAGAAGTCAGCGACTTGTTTATCAGCCGGTGATTGCTCCCGCGAGTCGGCAGCACCGGCCCAGCTCCTCCTTATCTATCAAGATTAGCACACGGCTCTTATCGAGGGAGCTGATTATAACCGTCTAATAATTATACCCGCCCAATAAACAGATTTCTTAATCAAATCCACGCGGGACGCCAGCGCTATCTGATATAAACGCCTTGGAGCGCCGCGCTGGAGGTTACCGAACGCAGCCGCCTCCCCCGCGCGGGGCTCAGCCGGGGGTTGTGGGAGCAGCGCCCCGGCAGGGACGGGGCCCCTCGGCGGCCGGGCGGACACGCTCCGGGGCCACGTTTCGGTAGCAGCGGGGCCGCGGCCGCGAGCCGGTGTTGTCGGTACCCGGGTGCCGGTAACCCCGGGCCGCGCCGCTCGCTGCCCCGGCCCCGCGCTCGGCCCCGCGCGGGCGGTAACGCCGCGGGGCCGCCGCCCCCCGGCCCCGCTTTGTTCGGCACTAGCCGCCCCCGCAGGCCCCGGATGGCGCCGCAGACAATACCGAGGGGCGGCCCCGCCGCGGGGGGTGGAGGCCGCGGCCCGGCGCCGCCTCAGGGGAGGGGGCGGCGCCCTCGAGCCCCCGCGGCGGCGCTGGCGGTGCGTGGCCGGGACCGTCCCCCGACTCTCACCTGCGGTGCGCAGAGGAGCCGCCGCTCCGCCGTGACCCGCCCGGACCCCACCGGACCCACCGGCCCCGCTCCGCTCCGCCCGGTCCGCGCTCGGCCCGGCCCGCCCCACTCCGCCACACACCGCCGGACCTGACGTCACTTCCGCCAACGCCGGGCCCCCGCCGGCTCCGCCCCCTCTCCCCCGGAAGCCGCGGCGGCGGCCGCGCGGCAGGCCGCAGGATCGGCGGGGGGGCGGCGCACTGCACACCGGGACTCGTAGTCTTTTCCCCACCCTCCTCCCGGCGCGCGGCATGCTGGGAGTTGTAGTCCTGCACGGCACCTGGCGGCCATTTCGCGTGGCGGCGCGGGGCACGCCGGGAAGCGCAGTCCGGCGGAGCGGCCGCCATCTTGTGGCAGCGGCGGTGAGGGGGCGGGGGCCGAACAGCCCCGGGACTCACGGAGGATCGCCAAACGGCCCCGGGGCTCTCACAGGGGGGTGCCAACACTCCCCGTTACTGGGCAACGCCCGAGGCTCCCCCAGCCTCGCTCGGGACAGCGGCTGACCCGGGAGGCGCAGACGCCTTGCCTCACTGAGGGAGAGGATAATGGAACACGGAGGGAACAACGCTCCGGTTCGCAGTGCTGTTTCTGCCCGGGCTCGTGCGTTTTAAGGCGCTGTATCAGGAAACGGCACATAGTAGAGATTCCTTTCCGAGTACGTGGCGAGGCTTCAGCCCCATTTACAAAATGGGTTCAAAAGCCATTTTTATTCTCTTTTGTTTCTCCTCTCCCTTTTCCTCAGGGGAAGGTGGGAATGCCTCTCTGGCCCATTCACAGCCTCACAAGAGGCACAAAAACCAGCAACAATCTGGAGCCACAAACCCTCCGTGAGCCGGCTGCCCCAGCTGCAGCCACACGTGGCACACAAAGCAGCTGGAAATACCCAAGTGTATGTTAGTTTATACTGATTTTACCAGCCACCATTACCAACTTGCTCCCAGGGCCCAAGGGTTTCCTCACAGTCCATCAAACACTACAAAATACCTCTGCAAGCATCATATTTAAAAAAACAACACTGTGCTCTTGCTACTGTTATTTCCACAATTTCCAACTCTACAAATCCAGCAGGATGTGGTTTTCTCACCTGGAATAAGTTCTCTCTCTACTCACTCCCCACAGCAATGGGACAGCAGGCTCCAGGTTACTCCTTACAGCTGAAAATTGTACCTGAAGCAGAGCCTAACATTTTACAGTCACCCTCGTGCTCTGGGATTTCTCTCACCCTCCACAGTGCAGTTATTCCCAAATAAGCAGCTCATGACACCAACGTGTGCGTCTGGAATCTGTCCTCAAGATCAGGTTTTTCTGGCACCTTTTCCTCACAAATTACCCTAAGGGCTCTATTCTTCCTGACCTCTGCATGGGAACAGAAGGCACTCTGCAGAAGCAGTGGGTTTGATTTAACTTCTGACATGTAAAAACATCCTAAAATCACTCACACCTGGGAATGCTTTATGTTTAAACACTAAACATGATATACATGTTTACCTGTACATAGGTCAGCACTCACACAAGTTAGAATATCAGCACGGGTATTAGCTAACAAAAGGCTACTTTAAAAACGGAATGTAGTATTTTGATTCATTAACCTTAAATGAACATTGTAAGGAAACTTAGAGGACCTTGGAAATAAATTATCTGCCCCCCTCAGAGAGAAGGGGGGCCTGGTCTACAGCCAAGGCAGATGGACTCAACAGCCTCTCAGGACAGATGAGTGACAAATGCCATCTGACTGGGGCTCCAAGCCCATCCTTGTGACTTAGTTCTGCTCTAAGTGCAGGGCTGCTGGTGCCTGTGATTTCTTTCAGGGGCATCAGAAAGCTTTAAGATTCTATCGGTGCCTGACATTTAATCCATTTCCTACAAACCCAAACATCACTTTGCATACTAATGAGTGTCATGTACAGTGCAGTAACTGCTCTCTGTACAGGGATGAGTCACTGCATGGTAAAACTTTAATTTGGATGTGCTATTTCAACAAACCCTGCACTGGAGCTGCTCCTCAGCACTTCTCCCCTCTCCAGGCCCCCACAGAACCTGCTGCCCTCGCTGGAGGTGGCTCAAGCTCCGTGAGGGACTGCACCCCTCGGGTGAGGGTGCAACACAAAGTCACAGCTGGAAAAACAAGTTCTCGAGGCTTGACTTGCACACAAAGTCCTGTGTCTGCTGGGTGTGCCTGCTTAACGAAGGACATTTTAACTTCAGCAGCACTCAGCCTCCTGCATGGCAAACCCCTTCCAAGCCCCAGATCCTCACTGGTGGAGGCTCAGGCTGGAAGAATGGGCCCCAGTCTGTTTTGTCTGCATGAATGGGATGTGGCTTCAGCTTTGATGAGAACACCCCAAATCTTCAGAAATAAAAGTGTCAGCAGAATATACCTACCAGGGTTTTAACAAGTGATATTTTAATTTGTTTGGAAATGCAAGACGGTTTAGGGAAGAGAAAGAAGAGTTATGCAGGAAGCTGCTGAAGCAAAGGTGTTAAAAACATGCACATTTTAAAAAGAGAGCTTGAGTTTTGGTGTGGTGACATGACATAGGATAGAGTTCAGCAGACACACTGGTTAACATGCCAAACATCTCTAACAAATCACTGTGGTCTAGCTTTGTTTATTGGGAATCACTTTAGTAACCTGAAGTCACAAATAAGCAGTAAATAACAAAAACTACAGATAAACACAGGTTACACATGCAAATTCCTGTTCACATCTCACATGTGCAGGTACATTAAATGCACAGTTCTAAAGAGTCTTGACAAAACCAGGTTTTAACAAAAAAATGGTGTTAAAATGCAGGTATGAAAACTTCCATGTGAAGAATATAAAGATACCTCTGTCCCTTTTGGGACTCCAATGCTGCTTTTGATATACCAGAGATGTACGACAGCGACGAGATTCAAGTAAAAGCAGGAAGAGCTCGAGGAAATAATACTGGTCAGAGAATGGGCATTTACTTCTCACTAAAAATACACGGAATAGCTGAATAGGAAAGTCTAGCAAGAGCTTAGGAAAAAAATCACAAAGTTGTAAAAGCTGACTAATCACTAATTTTCCTATTTGCTATAGATAACAGCAGTGACATTGAAAGAAACTGCAATTCAACATTTAAAAATGCAACTTACATTTAACGACTTTTTCAAAGTGAAATGCAATGACAGCCTTACACTCAAAATTAAACAGCTGCTAGGCTCAGACCAAAATACGGAATGTTCTAGATAAAATAAAAATACAGTATTACTTTTCATTTTTTATTCAGAATGGAATTGAAAGACAATTTCTGAAGCTTGAAAGTAATAAGTTTCATTTAAACGCAGTTTTCTTCTCATAGATGAGCTTTCCACAAGGGTGCAAGATTTCTTTTTCTGTAATAGCTTGAAGTGTCAAATGAAAAGTTGTTGCCATTCTCACATTAAGAACAAACTGTTGTCATTAACTTAACTGCATATGCTTTTTGCTACAACATTTAACACATGAACAGACCTATAATGCCTACTGTATCTCACTAAAACAAAAAAGAATACAGTATTTCCATCTACTACTTGTACTGCTTTTAAAAAAGATTAACATTAAAAACAAAGCCACGTTTTCCTTACATCCTTCCTTCTTTTTAACCTTCTTTCTTTTGCCTGAAGTCTTCTGCCATTTTATCCAGAATTTTCTGTTGAAAGAAACCATTTATATTGGGGATATATTTAAAGAGTTTCTCACAGGCACAACATAAAGAACGGAAACATAAATCCAATTTCCAAGTTTAAAATCTGTGAGCATCAATTGCAATTGCAAAGGTCATAACTAACGAGGCTGGCACTTCTCCTCACCCTGGAGTGGAGCTCTCCTTGACAAGCCAAGGGAATTCCTTCCCCTTTTCTCATGGACTTGTGACATGACTGAGCCACTTACCTGGGTGGAATCTGCCCTCTAGAGAGGCAGGGACACAATTGCTCAGTATCTCCCCTCCCTGAAGAAGGGTTAATTTGGAAGTCTGAGGAATTTGGAACCACTTTGATGACATTTGGCAGCAAGATCAATTCACCTATTTCATTCTCCCCGCTCTCCAAGCGGAGGAGACTTCCATCTCCAAGCAAGTGTCACTGTGAAACAAAAGCTGCATTCCCCCTTCCCTCCCCAATTCCAAACCCCGCCACAATCACACCATCACCCACAAGCAGCTCACTGATCATTTCTGCCATGGAAAAAGCAAAGCAAATCATGTTTCATTCAAGTAATAAAGCTCACAAATTAGCATTTTCCCCCCTTCCCTTTTTACATCAAGGCTTTAATGTCCCATAAGCAGGTACCTCAATGGAAAAAAAAACAAGGAAAAAAAAGAAAAAAACACTATGGTGATGGATGAGGTGAATTTTCTTCCTACAAGATCCTGCATGGGAATTGATTTTCTGATCTACTCCTTCCTTCACGGTACTGTTTGGTGACAATTTTTGTGCCATCTGCCTTCCTGGGTCCTTTGTTTATTTAGAGGGTTCCCTGTTACTCCAAGAAGGCAAATGTTTGAATTATGAGGTGCCAAATTCTCCTTCTCTGTGGAGCCCCTGGGGTTTGCTTTCAGCTCAGGGATCAACTGCCCTGAAATGCATTAATGTGACACTGCAGGACTATCAGAATTCCTTTGGGATTGCCCTTTCCTGGAGGTCATGTTTGCAGCTCACAGTATGAGGTTACAGCAGCAGCATTGTCACTCATGCCATGCAATCATGTGATACCTCATCCAGTTAGAAAATGGAAAAAGTGCTCACAAAATCAGAAGTTGCAAAGGTTTTTCCTTTTTTAAACATATAAAAACTTCATCTTAAGCTTTGTTGATTGGTTGAAAGCACTCTCAAAGGGACAACTGGAAGGGATCTGGGCCATCTGTATTTACTCTGCATCACTACTTCTAGGCCTGGCCTTATTCCAATTGGAATTCCCTCTTGAATCCAAATTTACAAGATAAAAAAAATGCTGGAGCCACTCTTTAAACTGTGTATTCTGCATATTGTTTTCACAAGATGACGTTTTGGAGAGGTCTATCTAGAGTTAAAAGTGAGTAAGCCAATTTCCACTGCCTGAAAGGTATTTTTATTCTCAGTCCGGTCTCATTGAGCTCTATTCCCCAGAAAGAATCAAGCCATTTAAAATGAACAAGTTTTTGCCTTACCTTCAACTTTTGATAATGAGGAAGGCTGCTGCAATGGGTCTTTTTTGCAACATCTTCATTTGTGTAGAACAGGGAACACAATTTGCAATAAAACCCTGTTTTGGGTACCACATAATTCACACCTAGAGGAGTAAACACCACAAAATAAACTAAGAGATCTACTCTACATCATTTCTTTTAATGTCATATGTCATTTCAGCTAAATCTTAATACCATAATTCACTTTACATTAAAAGCTGCTTTATCTTTAAAAGTCTCTGTTTTAGTTTAGTCAAGGAGGGGCCTAGTAGTAACTAAATATGTGCAGTTTTTTTTTTTTTTAATTTAAAAATCAACCTTTTGGATTAAGGGTCCATTTTATTAGGTCCTTCAAGATCTCACAACGTTTTGTGATCAGTTTTGGAGTATTTGATATGACTGAACTATTACCACTATTGTGCTTTGTGCTAGCAATTGAATTTGTGTTGCTAAAAGATACCTCTGTCAATTTCTGCCTAAGGAAGGGGTTATGAAAAACTCTATGAAAAGAAGGAAAAAAGGAAGAAAATACTGGGTTTAGGGCAGGAGTGAAGAAGGGGAAGGAGGGGAAAGCCCTAAAATGAAAGGCTATGGGGCAATGTATTGCCAAAAATAAAAGTCAGATGAAATGAGAAATGCTACTGCGATGCACAGAGACATTTTGGAAAAGAAATGGAAACAGCCTTACCAACAGGAATGTTTGGCTGGTATGGCCCAATCCTAAACTCATCTGGGACAAGAGGTTTCTCCAGAACACTCTTTGTTTCCTGCTCGCCCTGGGGGTCTGTGTTCTCCTGGGTGCTTTTCTCAGTATCCTGTGCTGTGGTAGCATCAGAAGCTTCAACACTTTCAGCCTTGGCGTTCTCTTCGCTTTTCGTTCCGTTTTCTAACGTTTCACTCTCCTGCTCTGGCTCCTCAATCTTGTCCACCTTGATCTCTGCCAGGCTGTCCTCGCTCTTGCCCGCAGCCTTGGCTGCCAGCCCGGACTTGCGCAGCTTCTGGTGGTCGGAGTCCTCCTCGTCGCCCACCTCGTCCAGGGTGACAAAGCCCTCCATGCTGCGTGGGAAGCCGCCCACGTAGCGCTGCGGGGACAAGGGGCTGGGTCAGCGCAGCCTGAGGGCTCCCCTCAAACCCCCTGAGCTTTACAGCACAAATACTCCTCCTACGAGAGCTGCCTCGCTCACTCACACTGTCACTCAAGGTTTAACCAGCTCTTTTCGTAGCCCACTGCTCCCAAATCAAGGGTTCCCTTCCACAATAGTTTTTTTTTTTTTTCATCAGGGGTGGCCACTGCTTCAGCACAGCAACATGATTTCAACTTAAGAACAGAGCCAAAACCATTTAAATTCTCAAGATGAAAGTTCTTTTAACATGAGTACCTTAAGTGAAAGTAATTTTGGAGTGCACAAATTTTGTTTCTATTTGAGAATCTCATAAGATCCTTGAATTCATGGCCTGAACAGAAGGCAAAACCTTAGCAGAACTATTCTGTCTCCACTAATGATATGAAAGTTCATCAAAAATAATTAAAAGCTCTTTTCAACCAGTAGAAAGCTTGGAGCATCCCCATTAAAACAACCACTAAAACACAAACAAAACCAAACAAAACCCAACCCAAAGCCACCAACCACCCAAACTGTGAAAGCCTCTGAAAATCCAGGTTTCATTCCCTCTTCTGAAGGACTCTCTGAATTCGGAATTTTTGGAAATGCTCCTGCTGATATGGAGATATCACTATTCCACATACTTAACAGCAACTGAGAGCAGGACTGAGGCAGCATCACCTTTGTGAATGTGGGTCTTCAAGGAATGAAGTCTGGCTCTGAAGCAGTTTATCACAGCCAATGCCCACATACCAATAAGGAACACTAAGAAAACTGGGAAATGCCATTTGCATGGCCAGTATCCATCTCAGCACCATTAACCAGGCTCCTGACAAGGATCCCCCAAAACTCAGATCCATTACATCTCATTCACTAATTAGGAACATGCCTTTCTTGCAAAACAACATTCCAAGTCAACAAATTACTACAACTTTGCACACTACTCCACAGAACTGAGTGTGATTAACAAAGCAGGTAGGACATAAAAACCACAGAAGTGTGGGATGATGTGAGAAAAAGGGAATTCACAGCAAGTAGCCTGTGACTGGAAACATCTTGAAAACATTTCTTGTCTTTCTCCAGTGGGAAAGGGGCCCTGGCTAACTGCAGATGGCCCTACCTGCCCCTCATTTTAAGGTGTAGCTGTACATGCAATTCTGTCCAAGCCCAGATTAGCCTCAAGTCCCCAGTCCATTAGTTTCTGAACATCATCTCTGGCTCATGGGTAACTACAGACAGTTTGCTGAGGAACTGCTTGAGAGAACACAGTTCCTGGCTAAGTATTAATCAAAAAGAGGGTGAAAAGCAAGCAAATCCCCAGCAAGCAACAAGGGTAGAAGCCCCAGAATCAAAGTTTCTGTCAAAACAGAATCAGGGACCTATAACTAAATCCATGTGCAAGTCACACCCATTGAGATCTTCCATTTTCTTCACAGGAGCCCTAACACCTGTTGCTCTCCAGACAGGTGTTTTAAAGACCCACAGAGGAAGGTCTGCACCAGAATGTACATGGTGTGCTACCTAAGTTAGCCTGTGCTTCCCCCACTCAGCAGCTCACTGTGTGAGTTACCTTTTTAAGCTTTTTCTTGGCTGCTGGAGTGGCTGCAGCATTCCCCTCAGTTTTTACAGTCGCATCATCAGGTGTGTCCTTTTTTTCTTCAGTAGCCACATCAGCTAAATTGGCAACATCTGCATCCTCTCCTGCTGAGCTGCCACTTTCTAACAGTGCTGCTGCCTCCTCCTCATCCACCAGCAGCTCATCTTCAGACTCCAGGAGTAAACTGGGCTCATCTTGCTCTGTCTGTTCCCCACTTTTGGCACCTGAAGGCTCAGCAGCATCCTCCTGTTTCTCCTCTTTCGCTTTTTCTTCTGTATTGCCACTTTCAGGTTTCTGAGCAGGTTCTGTTTTGGACTTCTTATCACTGGGAGAATCTTTGCTGTCTGGGGAATATGTTCTCTTTCTGTAAAGAACAAAGAAGATTGCTGCTTGTAAACCTGGAGACAGCCCAGAAATTACTAAAGAAAAAGATCATATTTCTTTAGACAAGCCTGGAAACTATTGTGTTTCAGTTCAGAAAATGGAAAGCTGAGGGAAACCCTGAAGGACATCATTCTTCAAATATACAAAAGGCTGCTCCAAGGAGGAATTATCCTTACAAGACAGGACAACTGCTTGTGGGTTTAAATTGCAGGAAGGCATGGCTAATTAGGGACTGCAAAAGATTTCCTGAGGAGCCTGAAGAGGCTGTGAAATCTCCATCATTAGAGGAAGAGGGTGGGTAGCATATTTGAAACAGTTAATCTCTGGACACAAGCTCCAGCCATTTGATCTCAAAGCTTGCCTGACTCTTTGGTATTGTTTCTATACTCTGCATAAGGTATTTTCATATTTCCTTTGAACAACATCATGCTTTAACAATAAGAAATTACCTGGTTTTATCCTTTTTCAGCAGTTCAACTCCTTTGTTGGGAATCTAAAATAAAATTTTAAAAATCTGTGAGTCACAGCAGACTATGACTTCCACAACTGCTGCAGCATTAATTCAGACTAGAATCCAATCCAGCCAAGTGCTTCCAGCTACATGAACCGCCAGGAACTCTGTCCATGCCACCCACAAACTGATCAGTAAACCTTTATTTCATGTCAGACAGGATCTGACCAACCTAGAAATCCCCTGCCTTTATTCACAGTAATTATTCAATACAAAACAAATGGGACATCCTGCTCCAGAAAATTCACATACAATTCCTGGTTTGTTTATGAACCAACAGCATGTAGTGCAGGCAGTGGCACAGATCAGTCCTAAGCTGTACTTTTCTCCATCATTAGTGGAAACCTTTAGCAGACTCCCATCACTTCACTTGTTTATGAATTACTGAACAGGAAATGTCACTTGTAGGCAGTAACAAGGAAATCTATTCAAATTGCCACTAAGTGCTCATTTTGCTGCACTACCATGTGCATCAGTAAGATTTCTTCAAGCTCCAGAACAAAGCTGATGTTTCTAGGAGACAGCCTGACAGTTGAGATTTCTCCTACTTTCATTATCACAGGACTTTATTATTATCACAGAATATTCTGAGTTGGAAGGAAACCATAGGATCATCAAGTCCAGCTCTCCAGTGAATGGCCCAAAAGGGTTGAACCCACAATCTTGGCATTATCAGCACCATGCTCTGACCAGCTGACCTCCTCTCAGTTTTCTACCTACTGTCACAGTCTGATGAAGAACCACCTATAATTGCATGAATATTACTCTGGTGTTATGTAAAAAACCCCTTCAGTCAACCTTTCCCTCCTTTATATCAGCTGCACAGGCAGAGGTGCAGTTCTAATACATTTTAACTTTTCACAAACCTTCTTCATTTTCAAAGATGAAGGGGAAAGAAAAAGGATCCCACATTAGAGAATGTTCTAAATGGAGTAATTTTAATTAAAATCTACATAATTTACTCTAAAATCTGAATTATAGTAACTGGGTTTTGTTTAATCTGAAAGGAATATCCTTTAACTTGTCTCATAACACCACACTCATGCCAAGTAAATGCACTTGAGGAGCCAGAAAATATCACAGCCAACTGTTCAATTTTACATGCAACACTGAGTTTTCAATAAGGAATGGCTGTCATCTACTTCCCTTTATATCTTCAACTACAATTAAAAAAGTCCTTACTCTTAACACCAGTTTCTTGTATTTTTCAGATAAATCCACTTTCACACATCTGCCTTGGAACCAAAGCGCTTTGTTGGCACAATGCTCAACCATGGCCAAAGCATCTTCTCTGGTCTCCATCTCAATAAAGGCCTGAAAAGATTAAAAGACACATTAAAAAGGACTCTGAAGCTCACAACACTTTTCCAGGCAGTGATTTAACTTAAAATACAGCATTTCCAAATACTGAAACAAAATCACGAGGTTCAACTACATCCATCCTCACCAAACACTTTAACATTTACCCAAGCGCTCTACAAACCCCAGCTTTTCCACTCAGAACTCTGAAATTAAACAGGCATTCAAATAATCTGCCAAAAGTCACCATAAAGTAAAATATGATTTAAATAAAAAAGTATCAGGACAACAAAACTCTTATTTAGTGCTTATGTACCTGGGAATTTCAGGGAAGCTGTGAGATTACCTCAGTATTTTGTTTTTGGTTTTTGAGAGAAGGCTGAAACAGAAAGGCAGCAACTGCTGCTCCCTCCAGCCTTGTGAGGAGATCTCATGAGGCTGCTGAATGAGCTTTAAACAAACACATCTGGGTTGGAGTATCCTTGCCAAAAAACTGAAAGCTGTTTCAGCAGCCAACTTAGACAGCAAAGGGATTTTGTTTTTCCAGTGAAATAAGGTCAGGGAGGACTTCCTAGGGGTCACACAATAGTTTAGTAATATTTCACTTCTCAAGTGTGGCATTAGGGGATTCAGGCACCCATCTCTTTGGAAGAGCAGTAGAACTTTCTTTTTTACTCAAGAGAGCAATGAACTGGGACATTAAAGCTTAAAAAAAATTAGAGCTAAATAGTTTAAACTCCTGTATATTTATAGAAATCATGTCCATGCACATCCAAAGCATTTCACTATACACATGCAATGGTCTGTCTTCAAACCTTTCTCTTCCAAGCTAGAAAAGCACAGTGGGACTGCTTTTGTTTAGTTTTAAAGAATGAAAAATAAGGGTAAATAAAAGAAACATGTAACAGTGGAATATATTTATGTTTCATAGGTAATGGTTTTTCAGCCCTAAGAAAACAATCCCAAGGCTCTGTGAAGGAATCTGCATAATCCAGTAATTAAACCTCCATGCTGAAATACATTTTTTCTGTTTTTAAAGCAGCTCATATTCCAGGGACATCTCACAGGAAGCTCCAAAGCAAACCCCTGACCTAGACAGACCCTGGCTCATTTCCAAACCTATGCCAGAGCACAAAGCCCACACATGCCCCAGGTGAAGGTGTAATTTCTTCCCAGTTAACCCCCCTTCAAGGCCTGCCCCAGGGTTGCCCTGCAGTCACCTGGCTTTTCATTCTCATGAGGATGTAGTTCTTGATCTTCCCGTAGGGCTCGGCCAGCTTGAGCACGGCGTTGTCAGAGTAGCCCGAGTGGGGCAAGTTGCTCAGGTGGATCACACGGCCAAGTTCTGGCTTTGGTGGCTCAGTCTTTTGGTCAGGTTTACCCTCAGGTTTCTAAGATTAAAAGGGAAAGACATTTTTAAGACCTATATAAAAAATATACATTAGTGACTGTTCCTTGATTAATCTGATGAACTGAAAAATACAGAAATTAGGAATAACTAAAATGCAGCAGCCTCATAACAGTGACTGCCCAGATTAAAGTAAGGCAATGCTCAAAAAAGCAGAAGTGTTTTACCTTTATTCTCTTGTATTTCTGTGACAAGTGGACTCTGACTGGTTTACCAAACACCAGGGCAGGTGTTGTTGAATAATATTCCACTGCAGCCTGGGCATCTTCAGTGGTTGACATTTCAATAAATGCCTGAAATCATACAAAAATCGAATTAAGTGCTGCTCTTTCAGGAATCTAATTTTGTTTCAAATTTTCAAGCTCTTCCATGCTTCCTTTTAAAAGTAACTGCATCAGAAATGAAAACTGCTTTTTGGTTACAACATGAACTGACCTGCAGAACTTGGCAGACACTTTATTTAGGTGCACAAACAGAACTATTTTGTTTGTTTACGTTCCACCTAGATTTGGATTCAAAACATTCAATTGCTTCCTGCTTTTTCCACTTCTGCGGTATTCCTTTTTTTCACACCTCAAAATAAGACACACTCCATAATACAAACTAACATCAAATAAGTTTTCAGATAGTTTTCAAACAAGAGCAGAATGTGGTGTTGTTGAGAAAGCAATGAACAACCAACCAGGAGGATTTTCCAAAATAGAAGTGAAAATGCAGAAATGAGCATTGCTGGAAACACACTCCTCCTTTCCTTTCCTTTCCCACATGCCCCTGATGACAGATGTGGCATCTCAGTGGGTGGCTGAGCAAGTCCTTTTCCAAAAACAAAGCTCAGACAATGACAGGAAGCCCATCAGACACACCAGCCAGCCCCCCAGCAGTGCCCTGGGACCCAACCTTACCTCATTGATTTTGTTTAGAATCAGGTGATTTGTGATTATCCCAAAGGGTTCAACGAGCTGCAGCAGCTGATATCTCAGGTTCTTTCCCCTCTGGAAATCCATGATGTGCACAACTCTGCTTGTTTCCTGTTGAACACAAAACATGGGCACACAGCATGAGAAATCCTGAGTACCAGCAAACCTAAAATTCTGCCAAGGCTTTGCTCTGCTGGTGTAACTATTACAGTTTTAAAAACTATTTTTATCTATCTTCACTAGTGACCAAAAGATGCAACCAGAAAAGGCACAGAATTCCTATGGATTTCCAGAGCAAGATGCCTGCCATGCCAAAGCTGCCTTTCCTTCAGTTCACTTCCCACAGCTTCATCATGAAGAGAACCTCCAAAGAAGTTCTGTACAGTTTTGGAATAAATATTTTGTAGAGTACTCAACACAACAAACTCCCAGTCTCAAGCCAAAGTTTCAGAACTTCCACACAAATTTAAAAATCTCACTTCTAAAGATAATCAATAATTTAAACAAACAAAATCCACACCTTAAGCAAACACATAAATATTATACAACAAAAACATGAGTTAAAAAAAAGAAAAAATTTCAATACTAACCACTCTGCCCTTCTGCATGTGTCTGGGTCCTTGCATATTTCCATTTCCAGCTCCTTTAAGAAATTAAAAGAATGAACAAGCTTAGTTCAACCTGTAAGACTGGGATTAACATGTCTCATCACGAGTTCTTAAAAGATATGTCACTTGTAATACCAGAGTGAGATTAAGTTCTGAAATCTAATTATTTCATTGCACTCTAAAAAGGCTTTTTATTTATTTCAGAGCTCTTGTAACTTGGGGTCCTAAGTCCTGCTCCTTCTCTTCACTCTAACATTAGAGAAAGAGCTGCATTTATTGCTGTTCAGGAACAGCAGAGAGTAAGTACAGCCCATTGGAAAAAAATATCTCCTGTTTAAGTAAGATTTGCCAGAGGAAACTTCTTTATACACAAAGGATGTGAAATTTCTTTAAGACACTCTTTATACAATTAAGGATTCAGGTTCTAAAACATCACCAATTCAATCACAATATCCCTTAAAAAAATCCAAAAAACCAAACACAAACAAAACCCCCTTTCAAATAGTTTGGCCTACAGTTAAATCTGAGATATTCTGAAAAATTAATGTTGTTATTTTCATGTAATAAGGTATGAATGCATCTATAATCTAAAAAGTGTAATATTTGTAAAAAATTGTGTAAAAAAATGTTGTAAGTATTTGTATTTGTAAGTAAACAAGTAAAATATTTGTACTCTGTCAGGATATCCAGGTAAATTAATTAGTTTTGCTCTTTTAGTTATTTGAACTATCTAAAAGGTAGGAAGAATCTGATTCTTAGCCTCCTTTCCTGAGAGGAAGAGGCTTGCATCATCCATCTTCCCACTTCTCACTTCTATTCCAATTTATTTCTCATGTTCACTTGAAAATAGGGGGAAAAAACACTTAGGACACTGAATTCTTACCAGAAAACTGCACCAACATGTAGCTACTCAGAAGACAGATAGAAAAATCTCCTACATAGGAAAAAAAAATCCAAGTGCTCAACACATGTAGATTAATCTCAGTTAAAAATCAACAGCCATAGGGAGTTGGCAGTTGGCAAAAAGGTGAAGTGTGGGAACTCAGTACCACTCTAGTCCCACCACAGCCAAAGTATTTTAGCTCTAGTGCTGAGAAAAAACATTTTCCTTTGCTGTTTTAGAACACCGGTGACAAATTAAAACAAGAGTTAAAAAAACCCCACAAAAAGCCTAGCTAGAAATTAAGCCTGGTGAAGGTAGGTGCCTGCTGAGGTTACCTCTGGGCCCAACAGGAGGTCCTCCAAGGTGGAATGGAGGTGGTGGTGGTCCCAAAATTCCCGGTGCAGGGTTTGTAGATTGCTGCAACATAAAGGGATCACCCCTAGAAAGAGGAGAAAACACACTGTCATTTTAAACCAAGAAACTGTGACGCTTTCATTGATAAAACAGCCTAATTTCTGCACAGCTTCTATGCACACAACTCAGGCTACTTTTACTGCTGCCCATCAGCTGGACAACAAAGGGAGGAATCCATTTGAACCAAATGAAATGTGTTGTTTCACATAAAATGTTAGGAACTCCGTCTGCTTCAAATAATTATAAATACTTCAAAATTAATTACTACTTACATTCCATGTCCTGAATCACTGTCAGGATTCCATTCTGGGTATCTTAAAAGAAAGAAAATTAAAAGAAAATGTAAGAAACATGCAATCTCCTCTAGCTGTGTAACACAAGCAGCGGTACCTGGAGGTGTAAGACAGCTGCAGCACAGGCAACACTCCAGGCCCACTGCCAGAGCCATGACAGCCCTGACAGAAATGCTGCTCTTCAGGACAAGCTCCCTACTCTGCTTGCAGAACTGCTGGTGTTACAACAAAAATGTACAAGTGGTATCAACAACTACAATTACAACAGATTCTCAACTGCTATATATACATCAGTAGGATTTCAAAGCTATGAACCAGGATCCCTTTTTGTCCTGAAGATGCTCCAAGTTGAAGCAAGTTTTCTAAACTTGCTTTGTGCAGCAGTAATTTATAATCAGGGAACATCTTGAGCTGAAAGGACCCACAAGGATCATCCAGTCCAGCTCCTGGCCCTGCACAGGACAGCCAGGAATGGCAGGCTGTGCCTGAGTGCTGTCCCAGGCTGAGCCCTCCTCCCCAGTTACTGTACTTCCAGTTCATACATTTCGAGCAGCAGCTGACAGCGGCGGCTGTGAGTCGCTCCATTGATGTGATGGTTCCACTCCTGCAGCAAAGTAAACAAGGCACAATTAGCAGCCACACAGGGCAGTCCTTCCCACAAAGTCATGGCCTACAGCAGTGTCTTCTCTGCTAAGCTGCAGTTTTGCAGATGCATACAGAATGGAATCTGTGGTGGTGCTCTGAGGAGACACTGACACTGGACCTACCTCTTCCCTGCTAACCTGGCTAAAAAGGTGCCTGATGGGAACAGGGCTGCTCCTGCCTGCAAAGCTCCCCGGAAAACTCCAGCCCAGGCACAGAGGGCCATGGCAGCCTTTGGAACTGAAGGCTCTTTGTATGTCTTCAGGCATTGCAGAATTTCCTCTACTCTGCTTCATTCCTCAGATTTCTACAGATTAATATGAAGTAAGACTCCAATTTTTAGAACCATAAAGAGGCCAAGAAATTGCACGGAATTCAGAAAGGAAAGACTAAAAGAAACCTAAGTGCATAGCTAGGACAAACTACAAATATATAGGTGAAATATAAAATATATGACCACTCAAGGGGAATAATAAAGGAAAAAAGCAGATCTAAACCAAGATGGTACAAAGGAGAAGTAATGAAATTGAACCATATCATCCAGGTAAAACTCCTCCTGGTTCTGGTTTAAGCACTAGAAAGGAATGAGGCATTTCTACTTTTTCTCTGCAGACCATTTTAACTACAAAGGGAGTTGCTTATTTTAGTGCCTGATCTCTGTATCTTTATACTCTTACAAGTAAGAGCACAAATCTGTGCTTTATTCACATTTGTGAAGTGACAGAAGCTCTGGAGTTTCCCTGCTGCACATATGGGAGCCACAGCCTGACCTTCACTCTGCTGCTCCTCAGGGAAGAAAAGGACCAGCAGAGATAAACAGGGGGGAGAGTTATTCAAGAACCTTGGGGCTGAAGGTTTTCTCCAACTGAAGGTTTTTTCTTATCAGCCACATTTTCAACTATGAACACAAAGTGCACTGGCAACTGCTTTATGTGGCTCTTCTTAAATGTCTGCTTCTGCTCAGCACCCACAAAGGATTTTTGCCTAATCCCTTATCTTTCCAGATTTTTGGTCTCTGCCACACTACAGCAGTCCTGGATACAATGAGACATTCCCAAAGCTCACTGTAGTGTTTCCATATGTTAAATGCCTACCCCGCACTTCTTACAAAGGAGAAAAATCTGGATTTAAAGTCTCTCATAAAGTACTACAATATTACTCCATGATGCTCCTGACATGGAGCAAGATGAAGTCATCCCTTTTAGCAAGATGTAAAATGAGAGCACCACTTTTTCTTGTTAACTGCACAAGATGTAGGCTCTGCAACTATAAATAGGCTGGCAATTAGGATGAAAAATACCCACAAAAAATATAAAATCTATGAACCATTCAATACAAAGTTTCTTCAGTTCAGTACCTGCTACCAAGTGTTAGCATTACACTCTTGAAAATAGTCCTTTAAACCTCAAACCCCTCTAAATTCAGGGGCATAGTCAGTAAAGCCTCAGTGACCGCTTCCACCAGACATAACATGCGTTGAATCTGTCTCAACACAAAACTGATGTAGAAGTTATCTGCAAACCACAGGCAAACTTTGGGAGATTTAATTCTATTAAAATGCTTTTAAATTGGCAGAAAAGGGGGATGTGATTGTAACTTCAGATTTTTCTTCTCCCCCAGGGAACAATGGCAGCTCATCTACATTAACTTTTTATTACACAATTCTTAATCTGGATTCCCTTTGCTGCCTGCACCCATTTGGAAGCATCCCCTCCCCAGGGTTTTGGGGCACCAGATTATTTGTATTTACAGGAACTCATTAACACAAAGGCTCCAAGTTGAGCGAGAGAAAACCTGAACTGAGTTTCTGAAAACCCAGATTCCCCTTTGGCTCGGTTGATGCAAGCCAGAGGACACTCTGTTCCTCAGAAAATGAGGCCACACTCGAGCAGCTAATTTTAGCCAGCCCTCTCCCAGGGCCACAGCCAGGTTCTCCCTCTGAGAAGTACCAGGTTCAAGCGTTTCACCTCCAAATTCATCTGCTTGGGTTGCATCAGCCTTTGTCTCTGGCAGGAAAACAATCCCTCCACATCTAACACCTCATTCCCTGATAAAGGGATCAGGATTGAGAAAATGCCTCAAGTAACTGGGGCACGATTTACTTCACAGACAGAAAATAAACTCGGTCTTAAAATATACACACATCAAATTAAAGAAGCAATTAAGAACATCACTAAAATTAAAAAAAACCACTAGAAGACTACTCTGTCAATTTAAGTTACACTAAGGATGTTTAACACCTTGCTTGCATTTAAAACACACATAGCTTGATCAAACACTTTTAAGAATCACTGATATTTTTATTTGGAGGTGGGGAAAATGAGATTTTGTTACTATAGTAATAAATTTACATAGTCCCAGCTATGAAAAGCATTCCCTTTCTGCTTTCCATACATTTCAGCTCAAATCAGATTACTTGAAGTTATATTTTACTTGATTTGATTTTGTGGGAGACACAAAATAAGGAATTGTGTAATGCTTGGGTATGCAAAGCAGAGGAAAGAAGGAGAGAAAGAGAAAATTCTTGTGGTGACATGATTTCTGAAATCAGAAATAAAGCCTCGACTTGGGTCATAAGAACCAGATGATCCAACCACAAGTATTTTATTATGTACTAGCAGTTTTAAAGTCAAAGTATATTCCTAAAAAGAAAAAAAAGTTTTACATGTTACAGAAGAGGTCAGCCACTTAGGTTATGCTGTTAAAAGAATTTGGTATTTCTCATACCTGGAAAGGTATTTCCATGAGGATATCCTTTCATTAGATCTGCACTCCAAAGCACACTAAGAGTCATGAGCCTTTAAAATAAAGAGCTAAAAAGACCCCTACTTACAGGATTACTGGTTGCCATCTTCAAGGGCCTCAGAAGTTAATGTTTTCAATCTAACCAAATGAAGTCCTTTTACAGAACTGAGCATGGCAGCTAAACTGTTAACACTTAAAACTTTAATGAAAATAAACGTCAAATACAGGAGACAAGAAACCTGGATTACTGTATTTTATATCAAAAGTAATTAAAGCCACACAAGTTCATAAACTGTCAGATCAGGTGGAGCCATACAGTGTGTGCTCTAGAACTGGTTTGATCCTTTCCTTGCAGGGAAAGAATAATTCTTGTGTTTCAAAAAGATCAGATGTACAGAACAGCACTTTTTGAGAGGTAACTGTAAAGAAATGGTTAGTAACAGCAATTCCACATTGTATCAATTTTACAGTAACAGCATGTATTATGTTTTCAATTGAAGGCCTTCAAGCTAATTAGCCACTAATTGTGACAAGAGGGGCACTGTATTAGCCAATTAGCCAATTAAATTGCCTAGTATACTGGAAATCAGCAAGATGAGTACATTGGAAAAGGTGAAAGTGAGAAGGCTCTGAAAACACCATCTGAATCGTGTTGAGTAACCTGCTCCCTTTGCAGAGCTGCACTAGGCGTGGATAACTAAGAGGGAAGTTTCAGCATCACCGAACACACCCGAAGATCCACTCTACTCGTGAGCCAAGTAAAGAACACTACTAGGAACACAGAGCAGGATACTGCAACAGCAGACTGATTGCTCGGAGAGTCTACAGGGATAGATGCAACATGTGACAATAAAAAGTGAGTCTGAAGTGTTCTAAGAAAGTTGTGAAAAAAGGAGAAAAATGACGACAAATTTCAGCCATAGTATGAGATAGAGTGTTAAAGTGAAATTAAAAAGGCAAGAATGAGCTAATCTAAAACGTGGTTTTTACTTTTGCAAATAAGTTCCAGGGCTCTACATTAACTCTTTCCCTCTGGACAGGGAAAAAGCAGAACTGTGCAAGAATGCATCTTAACTACATATAAATCAGCAATCAAGACAGATGTGGAGGAGAGCTGAAACTAGCTTCCGGAATGGCACAGTAGATACACTGCAAAAAAACCCCAAACCAACAAAAAAATACCAAAACCCACCCCAAAACTGCTTGAATGCCAGATGTTTGTGGTTAAGAGAACATGTAGATGTAAAATATAAACAAGATATCCCAGTAGATGACAGCTGTTTGACTTGAAGTTAAGCAATCTGGGCAAATAAAATACATTAATGTAAAGCCCTGGTTTACAATGTTTGTCAACAATTACCTTGCAAATAAACCAAGTGCCTTTTTCACTCTCAAACCAACTTTCAGATCATTTCAAAAGCAACCAGGCCATAGAAATAATTAAAGAAATAGGTAAAAACAGAACAGATACTACAACGTAAAGGAAAATAGAAGTATCTGGTGCATAACTCACCTTATTAGAATGAACTGGCATATCACATATAGAGCACAGATGGGGATAACCCTTCGGTAAGAATCCATGGAAGTCTTCAATATTGCTATTTGGAGGAGCACCTCTCTTTTTCTCAAAGAGAGATCTCTCGGGACCAGGACCACGACCCATTCTGTCATACTCACTGTCAAATTTATGATAGTTATGCGAAGTCTCACCATAAAAAGATTCATCCCTACACCTTTCTCCATCTCTCAATCTGTCATCTTCATAATCCATTCTGTCATAATAACCAGATTCTTGAGAACGACTTCCATGGTCATAGTCAACCACTGGGTTGAGACTAGGACCACGATCATCAAAGCTATCTCTTCTAAAATGCCTTTTTTCTTCCCAATCATCCCTAGGTACTCTGTATGGTGGTTCCCGTGTGGATGATCTGCCATCTCTACCATAACCTTCTTCAGCTCTCCTCCTTTTAAGTTGTAGAAGGATCTGAGGCAAGTTTTCAGGAGTGATCTTGTCCTCGGGATAGCGACTCAGTTCATCTAAGTCTCTAGCAGACAGACCAAAGCTGGCCAAAATGTTTGTGGCCTGGTCTGCATCTCCACGGTGCTGAGAAGACAAAGGGAGCGGACCTCTACTTCCAATGTTAAATATAGACTGCAAATTATGGGAAGAGGTACTACCAGAAGACAGTGCACTATGAGATCCTTGTTGGTTCAATGAAGAACTCATTCCAAGATTCATTAAGCTAGCAAGGCGTGCAGTACCCTGGTTCATCCTTCCAAGAGATGCTGGCATATTTAAAGACTGGGTAGCAGCAGCAAGAAGGCCTATTCCTGCAGAGAGGTCACGCCCATGACCTTGTGAATCCCTACTCAGAGATGACTGCTGGAATGACTTGGACATTGTAGAACTAGAGCTTGTCTACTTTATGGATCAAAAAATTCTTTTTGTTTAGTTTTTTTTTTTAAGATGGCTGCAAAGAGAGCTCACACTAGAAAGCTAGGCAAACTTCACTTCAAAAACGGTAACGCCAAGAAAGAGGATCAATAATGACTGCAGATCTTCTTCAAGCTGAGAAACACCAGACAATTCTGTAGAAAAACAAGCAGTTTTAGTCATAAATCCCTTTAAACAGATGCAGTTTTAAACTTATGCATCATGTTGAGCTAAAAAAACATTAAAGATCTCAATCTTACAAGGCTTTTATCACATAACAGATTCAAGAGGTACCCAGAACCTACATATATTATTGCAGATAAAAATACAGTAGTGTTTCCTATACATACTACTCTTCTTCCACAAAAAGCTACTTTCACACTGAAGAAAAGTGAATTTCAGAAGTTTGCGATGTCTGAGAGCATCTATAAAGTTTACTGACATGTAAGCCTTGATCTCTGGTTAATGGCTTTATTCATACCCTACATTACTGTACTGTGTCTGTGAGAAGAACACAAAAAACTTAGGCCCACAGAATCCAAGATGACTTTGGCATATAACACATATTTGAAAATGAAACCTCTAGCACCACAGAAAAGGACGAAAGGAAGTTAAAAGTAACTGAAGTTTGGGCAAAAAGTTTCTGCTATAAGATCTGTAAATAAGACCAAACATAATATTCAGTCTTTACGCAGTAAAATTCCAATTACTGATGTGAAGACAGATGTGAACAAGAAAAACAAGTTTTACATTTTGCAGGAAGTAAACAAGACCTCTTGTTCCAATTGCAGTTACACTGCTAACAGCATTTCTGAAGGGATTCTTTGCTCTGTTACATGGCAGCTGTGACACACCAGCCTGTACTCTCAGACCTCAAACTAAACAAGGTCAGGCTTAGTGCTGGGATGGGAGACCCAAGGAAAACCCTGCTCCTGCAGGAAGAGACCCCAGTGAGTCAGGAGATGGCACCACATCCCAGCGGCACTGCCGGCCTGGGGCTGGCACTGACACCGTGACCACCTGTGGGAGTTAAAGATCCTAAAACACTGCTCACAAGAGAGAGGTGACTCTTTGGTATAAATAAAATACTAACCTAGCACTCCAATATTAGGTTCAACTGCATTTACACAAAGTTCTAACTAAACAGTCTATCAATAGCCACAGCATGCTGCAATGAATATATTTCATAAAATGTTCTTTTAGGGCAGAGCAGAAATAACTGTAATACTTCATCCCATCCTCCTCCAGCCTTGGAACAGATACACAAAGTTTAAAGCAATTCAACACATGTGAAAATATTCCAGCAGGAATAATCTGCTCTTGGGTCCCCGACGTTGCAAAGCCCTTGCCCGTGTGGGCAGAGCAGTTCTGCTTCTCCAGCAGTGCCACCGAGGAGCACATCAAACACACAACCACTGGGAAAAGAAACAGGCACAGGCTGCACAGCTGCAAAGGAAGTCAGCTCCCAAGAGAACAGGTACATTTGGGGAGGAATGGAAAGGACAAAATGAAAGCAAGGACTTTTCCTTGAAGAGACCAGCTCTGCAGAAGGCAATGGCTCTTGTACTGGAAAGAGAAGGAAAAAGGTCAAGGTTAGAGGTCTCTAGCCCCACTGCCTGCTCAATACACAGCCTGTTCCAACAGTGCACAAAGCTGAAAGCACTTGGGGTTTTTTTCTCAGTAGCAGCATGTTACAAAACTATGCATTTATGTAAAAAAAAAAAAAAAGAAATTCCCTGAAAAATACACAAAGCACACTTAACTCATACAACTCCACCTTTGCAAACTAACTCCTTTATACAATTTGCTACATACTCTGTTATCAATGCATTTAAATAATTTCAGCTACATTTTTAAGATTCAAATATGCTGGAGTCATTAAAAGGAAGCTTAACTGTGTGACATTTGTTAAGAATAAGAGATTGAGAAACATGGGTATGAAAATAAGTTTGAAAGTTCTGAGGCAGAAGACAGGAAAACACTGCAGAAAGCTTCAGAGGAAAACAGTAACACAAGAACACAGGGGAGCATACCAGGTGAATTCTAAGGGAGATGTCCCAGAGAAGGGGGCCACACTGGAGGACACCTGACAGAAAGCACTGAAGAGCTACATTGTAAAAATCAAGACTCTGAGTTCAAACAGACAGGAACTCTAATATTCACCTGGGTACCATGCTTTTATCCTATATTCATTCAGTATTCTTTGAAGTACTTTTATAACAATTTTACAAGCTAATCCTTACTCATTCAATTTTTACGCCTGAATTTCTTCCTAGTTCATTCACCCCCTTTCAGAAGGGTTTGAAGCTGAACTTACTGGGTTCTTCATAAAATCAGGTATTCCAGAGGGTTCTCTGAGCCTGACCCAGCAGCAATTCCACAGATACCCCTGTGGTCAGGACAGGCTCACTGTGTCCTGCTGTTAGTGCAAGGACCAACATTATTCAAGTTTCCACTAAATGAGGAAAGTTCTCCACTTTTGAAAAACACCCTTTATTTGAACAAATGCTCCCTAATCCATTGTCACAGCTGTCAACTGGCAGTTCATTGTGTGCTGCTGCAGAGATTAGCAGGGAACAAACCCCACGGCACCCTGGCCTGGCAGGACCAGGGCTGCAGGACCTGATGGTGCCACGCTGAGACCCCACTCCAGAGCTCCACAGAACCACACCCAGCTCCTGCAGCTGCAAACACCCAGGGAAGGGGCAAAGGGAAAATAAAAATAGGAAAGATGGGAGAATAACCAAGACAAAGACAGAGAGAGGGACAATCTTATGGAAAAGCATGAAGTGGGACAGTAAGACAAGTGTATGATGAAGACACAGCACAAGCTGGCAATTGGTGCTAGTCAGGAAATACCCTACATCCAATTAGGTACTTGAGTACTTAAATTAACCAGTTTGAACATCCTCAAAAAACCACTATTTATCACACCACTCATCTTGCAATGGCTGCTGCACTCCACTCCTAACCAGCCCCATCCTTTAAGACAACAGAAAGAGGTGGGGAAGAGCTCTACCCTCACACCAAGGATGTTTAACTTCCACAGGGTCAGGTTTAACGCGATCCTAAGGCAGCACTTCCTGTGCTGATGATTCCATGCCAGTATCTGATAGGGACAGGTTCCCATGGAGCAGGGCCAGCTTTTGAGAGAGGGTGCCATCAACTGAGTCACAGCAACAAGATGGGCAGGACTGAACAGAGCTGCCTCGAGAGCCAGACATGACTTAGTTCAAAGTGTTATGCTACTTGTTCTCCATGTCATTTCAGCTATCTGGGATCAGACAGGCTTTCAGGTACACCTTTTTTAAGATCTCTGGGGAGAAATTTGGCCATATAAAGATTTGAAAATATATAATATCAAGCAATCTTGAAATAAGTTGAAAGTCAAAATGTTATTAGATTTCCAGACAAATGCAGACAATGAAAACAATTTGTATCTACAAGTTGCAAAAGAGTGTTCTATAAAGGCAGACAACAAAAATAAGGAATTTGAATCCTACAGAGTACACTGTTATCAAACAGAGCCCAAAATGAGGCTGATTTTCAAACACTCTAGAAGGTTTTTCTCTTAGTGTAAATCTGAGCATATCTTTTCAATAAAGCTTATGAACTCTTGCTCCAATATTAAGTTTGACCTGAGAACAGTTAAACTCAGTGAATTTTTGGAATATATTGATCATGCTGAACACAAAAACCTCAGCTTGTCACCTTTCATGGAACACAAATAGGCTGAAAATAAGTCCCCAGCTCCCTATTCCTTTTGCCACTCTCAAGGGGTTTTAACTTATGCAGAGTTACTGTAATTTTAATGTTAATCTTGTTCTTAAAAGAACTCATCTTTTACCCATTCCTCTCCCACTATTTACAGAATAAAAGACTTAAAAATGAAAAGTAACTGTTGTCACTTTCTAGTCAGTTTCACTTTCACTTCAAAACACATTGCATTAGAACAAATAAATCCAGTCATGGTAAAAACCTGAAATTATCTACAAGCTGAAAAGCACACCCTCATTTTGTAACAACACAATGCTTTTGCAGACCGTACACCCTTGGGAAAAAAGTACCATAGAAGTTTTTGGAAGTCTGCTCTTTGGATAAACATCTATAGGTCTTCCCCCTCCTCTCTTATACATCGTATTCTGTGGGGCAATCCCCTCTGCCATGGGACAATTCTTCTGCTCCTTGGCAAAACTGGCTCCAGCACATCATGGCAAAAAGGGCTATTGAAGGAAGAGATCTGGAATTTGGACACACAGCCTCCCATGCTGCTCTGAGAATTAATGGCAGCAAAACCAAGAACTTGCAAGGAAATTAGAAGCAGATGTTGTCTAGTTGCTGAATGACCAAGTACAATAGATCTCAAATCCAAGGGATTAACTTTTGGACAATACAGAAAAGGCCACTGTATTGTCCAAAGGCAAAGGAGGAATTGCCCAGCTGCCTTAGAGAAATGCAGATTCTTGCTCATTTCAGCTCCCAATACTCAAAGTGGTTATTTAATAGAGCTGTTCCACATGCAAGAGAAGCACTCATCTTGTTCAAGCCACCTCAAAGGTCATGCCCTTCATGAAACTTCAGGAGCACCTGGCACACGGGACTCACGCTTTTTCTGGGCACAGATTAACCACTCTGCTTCAGGCACAACAACTGGAGGAGTTTCAGTTCTTAGGATTATGTTTATCTTCATCCCAGGGAGTTCCTTGATCAGAGGAACACAAAATAATCTTAGAGTTGAAGTGACTGTAACAGAGGATTGCTTCAGAACAGGGAAGTGTGACATCTGAACAGGCATATTTACAAATGGGGAATTAAAATGACTGGTTTAGCAATCAAGACTCTTAAAAGAACTTACAGTTTTCAACATCTGAATGCAAAAAGGAACATAAAAGAGGTTGCTTTCCTATTTCTGCTCATTATATGATTTAATAAATTCAACCAGGCCTCTTTTGTAAGAGGTGTATTTTAAAAGTGCATTTATTCCTTTACAGAAACAGAAGTAGAAAAAAGAAGACTCAAGAACAAAAGAGAAAGAAGGCAAAATCCATGTATTTTTGAAAGGGAAAGAAGTAACACCCAGAGAAAACAGGTAACTGTTGTCACTGTGGTGACCACACCACAAACACCTCTATGGCTTCCAGCCATTCCTTTCTACTGCTTTAAATCCCATGGACACCCTTCAGAACCCCCACTCTCCAGTAAGAAGATGCACACAGGCTCTTGCAGCTCCAGAAAGCTCCATGGAGCCCCAACAGAGGGGCTCTGCCAAAACCAGAGTCTCTGTGAATGCTGTGGGATTTTACTGGGAAACTCCAGCAACACAATTGTGCCCCCATGCACAACAATGTCACAATCCTCCTTCATTCCCAGCAGGTGGGGGGACCAACAGCCCCTCAGACACCAAAATTCTGACACCAACTCCAGAACAAATCACAGACCAATTTTTAACATTAAAAAAATTAAAAAGGAAAAAAAAGAAAAACCTCACACAGAACAGTTGTGTGTTCTGATCTGGTAACCTGAATTTCCATCTGCCTTGAGGCAGTTCCAGGGCTGGGATAAAATCCTGGTCTTTCCCAGCTGAAATCCTGCTTGAAGTTGCAAGAAGTATTCTAGCTGCAGAGAAAAATCAAAGAACTGTTTCACTGGTTCAGTGCTCAAAATAAAAACCCTTTTGTTGAAATTATGACTGCACAATATGGTACTTAAACACTCACAAACTAAATGAGTTCAGAAATATTAAGAAGTATTTGCTTTTGTTTTCAAGACTTGTTGACTCAGAGAGCTGATGAAGAAAGGAAGCAGCATTGGAAAAAAACCTCATAAATGAACAAACTGAATGGAAATAATTTCATTGCAGCTCTGCTTGCAACAGCTTCTCCCCCAGATTTGTTGAGCCACCCAGAAGGCTGTTGAGTATTACATTATAAAATACCTTTGTATTCACCAAATCTCTCAGCAGAGACATGTGCAAGTCACAGCAAAGGGCAGCACACAGCTTTTCCTAATTTCTCACCCAATTAATGAGTGTTTTTATTTAAGTGCAGTTTATTCCTGAGTAAACCAAGTGGTTATAATATAACAGCTATACCAAACTTCAGTCTGGAGCCCCAAACACTGACTCATCTTGCCCCCTCTTGAACTGATTTTCAGTTTTTATCCTTAGGAACACAGATATCCACATTTTAAGGACATATATAGGAATTGCTCTGGGGTTCTTTCCCATCATTTAGTTTCAGGATGTATGTAACACCAAGCACACAATGCAGAAGTACAAACACTGGCTTATCACTTCACAAACACGTCCAAGGTCTGAGTGCCAGTATCCTCACTCAGAATTCAGTAATGAATCCTTTTGGGAAGTTTTTTTGATAAAATTCAAGACAGAAGTTCACTAATTTCTTGGGAATACAATAAAAACCTTAGTGTGTTCCACTACATGTTACAAAAACAATTTAACATTTTAGCACATTGAAAAATTGAAATATTAACGTTTCAAATATGAGAAGATTAAATCACTGGATCAATAGATTCTTTGTAAAGGAGCTCCTGAAAATGCACCCTTTTCTTCTCCCCATGAGAACTACACAGACTGCTTTAAGAAACTTACATTTTCGACCAGTGCTGCTCCCTACTTATCTGACTCCAGGAAATCAGGACCACCTACAGTTCAAAAAACCTGAAGAATTTAAGGCTGAGTAAAAAGAATAAAGATCCTTCAGCAGTTTTAACCACTATTGGATACTTTTTTCCCAAAGGTCTGCATCGTGGAAAGAAAAACAGCCACACATTTGGAATCTGAGGGATGGTTCAGCTTTCTTTCAACAGCATAAATGCCTCATTTATCATTTAACAAAGCAGTTTTTCAGGCTCCCAGAAAGTTCTTTTCAACTTCTGGATGTTTTCAGAATAGGTGAACTTTGTATCTCATTACTCTGACTCTGGAAGCAGAGTGTGTACATTAAAGAAATGGAACGTTATCAATCCACCACAGGAAGAAAAAAACCACCCCCGCAGCTTGATTTGTAAGCACAGCCTGAATTATATGAAAGTGAAACTGAGTAGAAAGACGGGTCAAACGGCTGCCTGCACTGTCAGGATTCTTGTTGCTCAACTCATTAATTCTTAAGGCCAGATGGGCATCAAAACCAGCAGTGTTAGGCTCTAACGGCCTTTAGAGGTTAAGGAAGGAGGGAGGAACGGGGCCGCCAGCGAGGCCGCGGCTGGAGCCGGCAGGGAGCAAGGGAGAGCTCCAGGCAGCGGGAAGCGCGGCGGAGCCGGGTCACGGCTGCAGCGCCGAGGGCCGAGCGGGAGCCGCAGTTCCCGGGCCCGGGGGGCCGCGGCGGGGGGGTCGGGGCTTTGTTCGGGCCCGGCGCGGCCGCAGTTCCGGCTGGCGGCGGGCGGGGGCGCCCCGGGGGCCGCGGCACCGGCCGGGCCGGGCCTGCGCGTGACCGCCGCGCGCCGGCCCGTGCCCCCCCCGCCGCGCGCTCCCGCCTCGCCCCCCACCCCTCACGGCGGGGCGGCCGCCGCAGGACCCCGAGATGGCGGCGGGCCGGGGGCGCGGCGCCGCTCCTACCTGCGGGCCGGCGGGGACGGAACGCGGCGGCGGCGCCTCCCGCTCGGTGCGGCGCCAGCGGCGGGGGAAAGGGGACGGACGAACGGACGGCGGGACTGAGGGAGGGACAGAGGGACTGAGGCGGTTGCGCGAGCCCCGCGCGCGCCTCGCCGCGCTCGCGAGAGCACGCCCGCCCGCTGCCCGCCTGCTCACGTGCCCGGCGGCGGCCGCCCCGCTCGACTCCGGTATCGCCGGTGAGTCCGCGCCGCTCCCGCCGCTGGCCGGGACCGCCCGCCCCGCCCGCCGTAAGGGATGTGGGGTGTGGGATGGGGACGGGGAGGAGGCGCAGCCGGTAGGGCTCTCGCGAGAGGTGGGGGCCGCTCACCGTGCTCTCGCGAGAGCGCCGCTGCACCGCGCGCCGCCAGCCCGCCGCCCGCGCCCCGCTCATTGTCCGCGCTCCCGCGGGGTAACATGGGAAGGCGCGGGGGGCGGGGCGGGGAGGCGGCCACGCCCCCCGGGAGGAGCGCGGGGCCCGGGGCCGGGGGTTCGCGGCTCCCCTCAGCCACTTCCGGGGAGCGGCACCGCCGCTGCGGGCTCTGCCCGGGGTATCCGAGGTGTCCGGGGTATCCATGGTGTCCGAGATATCCACAGTATCCTCTGGTCCCCACGCTGTTCTCTGTGTCCTAGGGCACGCTCACGGGCAGCCAGCCCCGCCCAGCCCGAGGCCGCTCTTCTCAGCACAACGCAGGTGTCACCATCGCTAAAATACTCAAAACTCTGGCCTCTCGCTGGCTGTGAGGCCGTTAGAAGGTTCTGGTAAAAAGGCCCTGCAGCCGATGTGCAAGGCTGTGCTGTTCCTCTGATCCAACATTGCCACCTTGTGCTGGATGAGGAGAGGTCCCTGTGCCGCTGCCCTCCTGAAATCCGTGAGCCGTCACCAAGGTACTCGTACAGCCCCTCAAGTACTATTCGTAATTTGGATTTATTTCGTAGTCAACATCTTTCTCCCTATTTAATTTTGTGGCCAAAGAACCGGTCTCTTCATTAGCCTGGAAACTGCTGTGCTCCAGCAGCTTTAGGAAGGTGAGGGTGGGTACATGAATTCAGGGAAAGCTCCAGGGGAAAGGAAAAATCTGCCTCCTCAGTTCATCACACGCTGATCTTTCTTCTCTGTAAGTGGCTGGAGAGCACAATGAAACAATAACACAAGGTATTTTTAAAAAATGGAAGTGGTACAATATACGTGTTGAAATAATATGGAAATGCTCAGAGAACAATCACAAGAAATCCAGCTCTTAACAAGCTCAAGGTAAAAAAACAATGAAGTGCTAAAAAACAAGCCCATAAATCTCAGTTAACAATCTTCCTGTGCTGTGGTGCTGCAGAGCAGTAAAAGCAGAACAAATGTAAAGCAATCCAGCCACTTTTGCCTAGCAGAAGTCATATATAGATTGCAAAATGTATGGTTCTCCTAAACAGAACCATAAATCATGTTGTCATTTCTCAAGAATGAATGCAGGTCCTGCTCCATTTCCTGGCTTTATTTCACTGCCAGTCCTGGACCTCATGGGTTCTCTCCCAATTCCCTTTGCTGTCCTGCACTCAGGGTAGCAGAGCAGGTCCAAAGTGACTCATTCTGACCTTTACTGATCAGCTGTGTGCTGCAGAAGGAGCTGCACAGTGCTTACTGTCCCCTGCCTGCAGAGGGGACACCCCAAGCTCCAGACCCTGTGCTTGTGCTGACCACTGGAGAACCTTCAGGACATCCCTATTTTTTATTTCTGAGTTGTGCACAAAGCTGGAAGCTGGACATGCTCCAGAACCCCACCCCATGCCCTGGGCTGAGCTCCAGTGCAGGCAGCAGGGCAGGGGGGATTCTGTCCCTGTGACGTCTTGTGAAGGCTGACCTAGAACAGAGACTAGACTGAGCTAAAGAATAAAGTAGGGATTTATTAAGAGGCCTCAAATAGATCCACCTTGGGCAGCGCAACCCAAAATGAGCACAAAAGGGACGACAGGTCATGGGGTCTCACACTTTTATAACTTTTGATCCGTTAGCATATTGGAGTTCATTGTCCAATTCCAGCTTCAGCCCATGCAATCCCATCCTTCTTGTTTTTCTCTCTTCAGTCCACGTTGTTTGTGTTCTTAGGCCTGAGATCTGGATTGGCTGTCCTTGGTCCCCACCTAGAGAAGGAATTGTTTTGTCTCCCCGCTCTGTGAAGAGAGCTCACCATCCCCTCATATGAAGCCCAGACTTACACACTAAAGCAGAATAGAATCTGAAACATATAAAAGCTAAAACCTGAGGCATCACCCTGTGATGTGTCCCTGTGCTCAGGTGATTTCCCACCTGCAGAGCTGCCCCAGCCCTGGCCCAGCACAGGCAGGAGCTGGAGCTGCTGGAGCCAGGCCAGAGGAGGCTCCAGGATGAGCAGAGGGATGGAGCAGCTCTGCTGGGAGGAAAGGCTGGCACAGCTGCCATTGTTCACCTGCACAGGAGAAGCTTTGGGGGGACCTCAGGGTGGCCTTGCAGGGCCTGAAGGAGCCCCAGGAAACCTGGAGAGAGACTGGGGACAAGGGATGGAGGGACAGGACACAGGGAATGGCTCCCACTGCCAGAGGGCAGGGATGGATGGGATATTGGGAAGAGCCCATATTCCCCATTTTTTGCCACTTTTGGGAATACCTGCTCCAGCAGCAGAGACCCTTGACACAGTGAGTGTTCCTTGGCTGCCAGCAGGCAGGACCCCCAACCTTAAGGGCAGCAGGTGCCCAGCCCTGGGAAAGAGGAAAATTGCTGGGCACAACATAAATCCATGGGGAAACCCCTGGTTAGTTTTGCAGGTAGGATTTGTTCCTACAGAAACAATAGAACTCAGGCTTCAACAAGGAAAAACCTTTATTTCCCAATAGTTAGGATTTTCACAAATATTCCCATGTGCAGTACAAAAACTGTACATTCAAAGCTCTGGATATTCAGCTGGCAGAAGGGCTCATGGCTGAACTAACAGTGTCAGGGACATTTAAGGAGTCTGGATTATTTCACAAACCCGGGTTTCTTAGAAGACTGCAAGGAATCCAAAGGGATCCAACTCTCATCTGGAGAGCAACACTCCTTTTGTTCCAACTTTTGCATTTAAATACCATTTTTGTCTGAAGCCCTCGGTCATCTTGCTCCTCCCCACCAGTTCTGATGTATTTTACATATTCATCAGCCTTTTCCAACCTTCCTTTGTGGGCTTCACTTCCCCCCAGGCCTAGGGATGAGAGCTGGTGCCTCATTACAGCCTCTCCAGTCTCCATTCTGAAATCCTCCTGCACCCAACAGCCTTGTAAGATAATGAAAAGTAAACTGAGCAAGCTTAAATATAAATATGTTTAATTGAGGTCATGTAAAAATGTATTTCCAACAAGCAATGAGAGGAGATTAACAATAAATTGTACACATAATTCTTGTTATACCTTGCCCCAAACCACCGCTGATGTTTCCAATTCCTTCATCCACATTCTGGAAACAAATTCTCCATCTGCCCCGTTTAAACTGTGGGCTCCAGGTTTCCATCTTCACCTTTCAAACAAGGATCTTCAAAGCAGCATCAACAGCTTTACTTCTGACCACCCCTGCTGTTCCAGCAAGCCCCACACCAACAGCTTACCTGTAATAAAAACCCAATAAAGAAAGTTGAAAAGAGGACTCCTATTCAACCCTTAGCACTGACCAGTTAATTAACTGGCATGCATTTTTATATGAAAGATGCACATTAAAATATCTGCAACAGAATTTTTTATTTTCTGTGTGTTGTCTGCATCCAATCTAGGTTTTAACTCCACGGGCAGGAGTTACTCCACTCTCGGGCATGCAGAGTGCTGCCAAAACCTGGCACCACTGAGCACCAGGACGGCCTCACTGGTGCCAGGAAAGCTAGGCAGCACCTTTCTCTCCCAGCAGCATAACACTGGCACAGGCACTGAGCAGCCCTGGGCAGCTGACTACTGCTGGGAGAAAAAAAACCCCAAAACTGGGGGTTTACAGGGCAGAAAAAACGTGGAGGCATTTTTCTGATGCCTACTCTCATTAAGGCTTCATCCAGCAAGAGGAATAGATAAGCTAAACTTATTGCTGGATAAACCATGTTATTTCCATCCTGAAGACCTGAGGCTAGCATAGGAGCCAGCAGAGGCTTTTTAGTTAATTCTAAGACAGCAAAACATTTTTGCCCATTTGCCCTCGCTGGCTCACGGTCACACCTCACCCACGTGGCTCCAGAGCTCTCGTTGTGTCTCACGGGCAGGTTATCCCTTCACATCTGCTCTCCCGGAGAACCTCCCCGGCTGTCCCAGCACAGCACAGCTCAGGGTCGGGCCACCTCAGGGCTGCACCTTCGGGCGGCTCCAGGCCAGCCCCAGCTGCGGGTCACCGCGATCGGTCATCGGCTGAAGGCCTACAGAGAGGACAGCAGAAACATCGCAAATAATCCATTAGTTCCATCTGTATTCACAAAACTCAACAGCAGCGGCCTTGCTTGTGGCAGAGAACAAAAGCCAGCACCCCGAGCGAAAGGCTGAGGAATTAATGCACAGCCGAGCAACACCCTAGTCCTGGGCACCGCGGGCTGCAGCGCTTGCCGGCTGAACAGCTAAATAAGAGAAAGTACTTCAGATGGCGCATTCCTTCCCCGGAGCCCCGGTGTCCAGCCCCGCTGCCGCCGCCACCCCGTGCCCTGTACCCCCCTCACCTCATGGCGGCGGCGGCCCCTCATGGCGAGGGAGCTCGGTTCACCAGAGCCGCTCCTGGCCCTCATGGCGGCGAGCTGAAGGAGCTCAACCCGCCAGAGCCGCTCCTCGCCCTCATGGCGAGGGAGCCCAGCCCGCCAGAGCCGCTCCTTGCCCTCATGGCGAGGGAGCCCAGCCCGCCAGAGCCGCTCCTTGCCCTCATGGCAGCAGGGGCTCAAAGGGAGCAGGCCGTGCCGCGCTGCCGAGGTGATTCCACAGGCACCGCCCCGCTCGCTTCGGCCGCTCCCCCCGGGGCGGGGAAAACCCTCGATAATCAGTCACAGGGAGGGCCTTTAAAGATCGTCTCGTCCCACTCCCTGCCATAGGCAGAGACACCTTCCACTATCCCAGGTTGCTCCAATTCCCGTCCGACCTGGCCTTGGACACTTCCAGCGTCCCTGACAGAGCCAGAGCAGAAACACGATCTGTGGAGCTGGGAGAACTGAACTCAAGCACCAGCTCATGGGAAGCAAAGTGCTGGTGAGCTGCCTCTGCTTGCCCCTGATGTGTCCCACTTCGGGTACAAGAGGTAGAAGTGTCAGCTCAGAAACAGCTGCCAGCAACAAAAATCCAGCCCTGAAATAAGCAGAGAAAAAGTTGTGGTGCTGCCAAGTGCCTTGCTGGGAGAAGCACAATTCCACACCTTCCCTGGCCTCCACATCAGGGAAGGATGCCTTAACATCAGCCCAGTGCTCTGTGTATCCATGTCAGGGCACAGCAGTGTAACTGTGACCTCCCTCGCTGGGGATTCATTCAAAGGAAGTTTTTCTCTGGGCTTAGTGCTCCAGTGAGACACTTCAAGGCCTTTCCAGAAAGCCTGGCATCCCTCCCCCATGCTCCTCATGTGCTTATGCTCTCAGAGCTCAGCAATGAACTCAGCTGGAGCTGTGCCTTGCCTCAGGCAATCATCCACTCCAGCTCTGTCTTCTTCAAATGTTTCATGGTCTATTTTCAGCCCAAGGCAGGAAGCTATTCTTCCTGGATGTGGGGTGCTCCTCCCCAGCTCAGCCTGATCCTGCCTTGTCCTGGGAAGCTCTGGGCTCGTTGTGCCCAGGACACAGCTGTGTGCAGGAAGAGACGCTGGTGCTGAGCAGGAGGAGGTCAGTGCTTCCCCTGTCAGTGATGAACCTGGTGAGGAACAGGTTTTCCAGCTATGCCCAGTGCAGCACAGCAAAGCCTGTCTGGGGGAGAGACAGGTAAGAGCAGACACAGAACACTTCATGCTCTTGTTCCTGGGGGTCTTGCTGCCCATAGCCAAGGGCACGTGCCCACACAGGGATGGATGATGACTCTGCCAAGACCCTTAGCCACAGCTTCAGTTTGGAACTGTTTAATTCATTAGCACAGCATGGGGCCCAAATTAATGTGCTTTGTCTCTTTTAATAAGACATTTTCAGCACGATTGGGGAGATACTTCAAAAGCTTCCTGAATGCCAAATACCAGAACTCAGCAACTCTCAGTGCCAGGACCAGTCTCTCACTTCCCAGTATAGATTCCCTCTGTGTGCACAGCTTTTCCTCTGCCTGCTGGCCTTGGAGGGGGGCTCAAACAATGGCCTGCACATCATTTGTGGAGTTTGGGTGAAAAGCATCAAACCAGATGAAACACAGCTCTGCCACGGGGGTGAAGCCCTTTTCTGTCACAGGAATGTGCTCTCTGCATTAGTTGCAGCCAGTCCCTGTTGTTCATCTTGGCTTGCTGACCACTAAACAGAGCCTCCTTTTCTCCTGCAAGTGTTGTGGCAGGGCCTGAAAGGACTGAGATGCTTTGTTTCAAGCCAGATTAGAGATATGAGTTACTACAAAACAAAAGCCCAGCAAGCCTTCAGGAGAGTTCCTCTAGTCTAGACACAGCCTCCCCTGAGCTCCCTGCATCCCAGCACAGCCCTGCAGCTTGTGTTCAAAGCAACTCAACAGGCTCCAGAAGCCTGGGTAACCTCTGTCGAGTGAATGTTCAGTTACAGCGTAAAGGAGGAATCACATCTGAGTGACTTTGCTCCCATAAATTAGCAGGATGGGTTAAACCAGGACATGAGCACTGTCTGCTGGCACAGTGCATCCACTCAAGAGATCTGCACTGGCATGGAGCTGTAGTGCTTCAAAAGACATGTGCTCCAAGCCTGGGGTGGGACATCCCCCATGTAGCTGATGTCTGCAGCTTCTCTGGCAGCAAGAGAGATCCTTTACTGTCACCTCAGCCCTGAACACTCCTGTGCTCAGGGGGCGCTGCCTGCCCCACATCACTGCTCACCTCTGGCACTGCAGGGTTGGTACTGTGATCCTTCTGTACCAATCAGATTTTGGCTCAACACCATTTGGCCACACTGTCCGTCACTGGAGAAAAAGACAGAGTAGTACCATGGGAAGAGGAAGAAAATTCAGTAAACCTATGGAAGGAAAGATTTGTGGATGTACATCATCATTTACCATGGTGGTCACCTCCAGCCCCATGGCCAAGCACGTTCAGGCTCTGGTGAGAAGAACTTTTATGCCCCTGGTGTCTGTCATGGATGGGGACTGTGATGATGACACCTCGTGGGTGTTGGTGTTTGCACTGCCCTATGAGTGACACTGGCCTTGCTCGGCTCCCACAGAGCAGAGGTGGCAGGGCAGCCATGGCCTCGATGGTGCCTTTTCCTCTTTGAGGTGCTGCACTCAGGTCAGGGATACCCCACACATGAGCACAGACTGGGAGAAGAGCTCATTGACCAGCAAAGAAGGACTTGGAGGATATCATGGATGAAAAGCTGGACATGAGCCAACAGTGGCAGCCCAGAAACTCCCCTGTGCTGGGCTGCACCCACAGATGAGTGGGGAGCAGGTGAGGGGGGGATGGTCCCCCTCTACTCTGCCCTTGTGAGATCCCCCTGCAGAGCTGCTCCAGCATCAGAAGGACCTGGAGCTATTGGAGCAAGTCCAGAGAGGCCATGGAGATGCTCCCAGGATTGGAGCTCCTCTGCCATGGAGCCAGGCTGGGAGAGCCGGGGGTGCTTCCCTGTACAAAAGAAGGATCCAGGGAGAGCCCCTTCCAGGGCCTGAAGGGGCTCCAGGAGAGCTGGAAAGGGACTGGGGACAAGGGATGGAGGGACAGGACGCAGGGAATGGCTCCCACTGCCAGAGGGCAGAGCTGGATGGGATAGTAGGAAGGAATTGTTTCCTGGGAGGGTGGGCAGGCCCTGGCACAGGTTGCCCAGGGAAGTTGTGGCTGCCCCTGGATCCCTGGCAGTGCCCAAGGCCAGGTTGGACAGGGCTTGGAGCAGCCTGGGACAGTGGGAGGTGTTCCTGCCATGGCAGGGGGAGGAATAAAATTATTTTTATGGTCTCTTCTGACCCAACCCATTCTGTAATTCCATCATCTCCTCTGACTCCACAGAGGGGCCATTTCCACTTCCCCACTGCCATCACAAGATGGCATTCCAGACCTAAAAGCTGAGCTGATACTTGGAGATCTTTTCCAGGCCCTGGGGTGTCCAACCCCAGAAGAAGCTGTGGATTTAACCCTGCCTGCTGAGCTCTTCCGCCAGGTCTCAGCCCTGACACTGCCATTTAATCACATCCTTTAATGCCAGGGCTGTGCTTTAATCAGCTGCACTGAAACACTGCTGCCGTTACTCCGTAACCTCTGAGCCATCTAATTGCACTGAGTTAAGCCAGTTATAGTTTTGACAGTGAATGGCATGCAGAGCACTTTAATCTTGACCTGCAATACCTCGGGCTCTTGCAGGGCCTCCTCTGCCTCCGAGGAGACACTGCTAATCAGACTGAGCCAGGATGTAGTTTAAGACATGGACAAAAGGAGCCAAGGGCAAATCATGAGCAAAATGAATCTGACTCATTTTGTTACAAAGCAGTGTTGAAGGTAGAACTGCCTTTTCTTTGCCTGAGAATTATTTGGGAGAGTAGTGAGAAGTCTTTCAGTAATTTATAACTTCGAAATTTATAACTTCGAAATAATAACAAAAAAATAAAGAAAAGAGAAAGGTCATTCTTCTTAGATATGTTTTTTAAAAAGAAAGCTTATTTTGAGTTAGGTGCATAAAGCACTGGTGCAGTGTGTTATCCCCTGTGTCTGCTCCCACGTTATGAGTGGGTGCTTCAGGCTTCACCCACCAGTTGCTCCCTGCAGGAAGAACCCATGATCCATCCATCTCCTTCCCTGGCCAAGGGCCTGCAGCCTCCCACCGGGGCTTGGTGCCATGTCCAGGGTGGCAGCTCTGCCAGCACAGCTCCCCAGGGGAGGCAGTGGGGCAGGATCTGCTGCTCAGCTGCCTCAGAGGCTGGGGCTGGCTGTGCTCCTCTGGGCAGCTCGGGGAAAGGCTGCTCAGGCATTCCCTTACAGGGAGCTGGAGCAGCAACCTCACTTGGTTGGAGGAAAGAGCAGTGGGGAAGGGTTACATAACCCCAATCAGCCTGCCAGAGGGGTGGTGCACCAGCAGCAAGGGCAGTGCCACTCTGGATGTGGCTGGACGGGAGCGTGCCCTGCCTGTGGGACCCTGCAGCCCCTCTGTCCATTCCCCCCTTCACTCCTGCCTGGGTCTCCTGGCCCTGTCAGAGCTTGCCGGTTTTGTTGTTCAAAATGCCCTCGGGCAGCTCGAGGAGCCCGTGCAGCTCTCTCTGTTCTGGGCTGAAACTGCTGCACAGCAATTTCTTTTTCCATTTCATCTCTGGCAGAGCCCTTGAGCTTTGCTCCCTTCCTCTTGCACCCTCCTCTCCTCCTTCTGAGCTTCTCCCTGGCCCAGTCTCCTTCCCTGGTGTCGCCTTCTACTCCCAGCTCCTATTTAACCCCCTTCTTTTCTGTCCTCTCCTTCAGTGCTCCTAACCAGAGGACAGATCACAAACCACAAGCTCTGCTATTCATCTACCAGATCCTAAGCCACTGTCTCAGTGTCATAAATGTGATCTGCTAATCGTGTGGAGAGGATCCCCCAGGATGCAAACCCCTGCTGGGATCTGTGGCAATCCCATGGCATCAACCACAGGGTCAAACGTACAAGAGGGGGTTGCAGCTGCCTTGCCCGAGTGTGGGCACCACAATCAGCCTGCCTTAGGAATTCAGACCTGCACAAGGCCCACCAAACACACCTGTGTCCTTCCAGTGCCCCACCAGGTCTCCTGGCAGCAAGGAATTTGCTTTAGTTCTGTGAGTTTTATAAAGCCTGA